TTAGGGTCCAGGAAATGAATTGATAATCCTTCCTACGATTTGTGGGATTGGCATGAAGTGGAATCAGCAGAGATGGGGTATGGATAAGGAGTGCCCTGGGAGTAAAGGTGGAGAGAGTCACACTGAGGGCTTTGTTTCTGACTCCCCCCACCCTATATTGCATGCCTCACGGCTGGCAAATCCTGAGCCTGCAGCCGAGGACAGGAGTGGATCGGATGTGTAGTCTCCAGTGTTGGAACTACCATGGAAAATGGCTCTAGCCAATGTCAGAGAGTAGGAATGATTCAGTGTGCCAGGGGACAAAATTATGGGAAGGTCCATTGACTTTCCATCCCTTTCCAGTCTGCCTTAGGATCCAGCAGAAAATGTCCCCATCAGAGCATTAGAAGCGTGTCTGTAAAAATGTAAATGTGGGTGGAGAGCACTGAGTGTTGGTGCTGTGTGGACAGCTGTTATATGCTGTGGGTAGGAGTGTGAATTGGTATAGCCACTCTGCAGGCAGTTTGCCAAGATCTGTTAAACTGAAAACAAGCCTGTACCCTCTGACCCAGCAATCCCACTTCTCTCCCCCAGGGAAATACTTGCACATGTGCCCAAGGAGGCAGTACAAGGATATTATTCAGTGTTGCATTGTTGGTTATTGTCAGAGACTGGAAACAACCTAAATATCCAGCAATAGGAGAATGGCTAAATAAACTGGGGTATGTCCATAATATGAAATCCTCACAGCACTAAAATGAATGAAGTATGTCTGTATATTCTTATGTAGTTAGATCTTGAAGACATGTTGACTGAGAAAAGACGGTTGTCAAACTGTATCTATATTCTAATACTATTAATATATTTTTAAAAATCAAAAGTATATGCATTAGGGTATAAGCTATGCTGCTATAACAAAGAAATGCTCAAATAAAGACTTAACTTAGGTAGCTTCTTTCTCACACAACAGTCCAGAGGGAGGTGTGGCCCAGGGTGAATGGTGTTCCGATTATCTGCTGCTGCATAAAATAACAATAATTGGGGGCTCTCTTGTCCCCTCCTGGCTTGAGCCAGGAGCCCTGCCCTCTAACTTTATCTCTAAATAAAAGCTTCTGCCTTACTCTTTCTCGTAAAAAAAAATAAAATAAAATAACAATAATTGCATTTTGCTTATGGTTTTCGTGGGTCAGGAGTTTAGACCAGGTATATTGTGGATAGCTTGACTGTGCTATATGATATTAGAGGCCTTAGCTGGGAAAACTTAAATAGCTGGGAGTAGCTCACATGGCTGGGACTGGAGTCATCTGGAATCATTTACCCCATGTCGGTGCCTGAACTAGATTGACAAGAAGGTTTGTCTTAATTGTGACTAATGGTCAGAGTGTCTACATGTGGTTAGGGTTTCTATACAGCATGGTAGCCTTAAGATAGTTGAACTTTTTGCTCTAAGAGTGGGTATTCCAGCAAATGAGGTGGAAACCATATGGCTTTATGTGACTGTTTCTTAGAAATTGTATAGTGTCAGTGCTGCCATATTTTACTGGTCAAACCAGCCACATGTATATTTTAGGGGAGGGAATAGAGACCTCACCTCTCCATGTGAAGAGTGCTAAACAGTGGGCTAGCATGCTTTAAAACCATCGTAGGGAGGAGGGCGCTGTCACATGCAGCTACCTGGGATCCAGGTTGGTTTGGCCCAGGAAGGGGAGGTGGACCATTTGCATCATGTGGCTTCCAGCTCTGCTTTCAGGGTAACCAGACCCACTGTTGCCGTATCTCAGCCAGGGAAAGCAAGAGTGGAGGGCAAGCAGTTTCTTATAAAAAATGTGGTTCAGAAGTTACCCACATCATTTCTGCTTGCATACCACTGGCTAACTCTTTGTCATACTGCTACACCTGGCTTCAAGAGAGACTGGGAAATGTCTGTAGCTGGATAGCCATGTGCCTGTTTACGACTTGGGGAGGTCCTATTAGTAAAATGAAGCAAAGGATAGTAAATATTTGGGACAACTGGTTTTTGCAGTATTTTTCATATACATGCATATATATTTGTGTGCGTAAAGAAATAGGTCTATATAGAAATACATGGGTACATAGATTGCAGACTGAAAGGATACATAGACAAAGGTCTAGAAGAGATTGTTAACAGTGGTTACTTCTGGAGAAGGGAGAGAAGGCGGGATAGGGGTATATTCAAAACCTACTTTAGCCGTAGCTATAGTGTTTTAATTTTTAATGAGAATAATGTCTTCATATTTTACTTGTGAAATTAAATACTAATTAAAACTGGAGAGGGCCTGGTGAGCATCAGGCTGCTAATGTTGCAGTTTTGGTCTTATCTCTTTATGGTGGGACCCAACACCAAAGAGTGCCAGGAGATAGCATGGCCCTTTATCTTCCAGGAGCCTGAGCTGGCATTGCCAGAGGCTCTCATGCCAAAATGCCATCTTCTCAAAGGCTGTGCAGTCTAGTCAGGGTCTCCTGGCCCTGTCCTCTCTGGCCAGTTCTGGAGGGTTCCTTTTATTACCAGCAGATACTAGTTGAACATAGAGGGTTGTTTTTGGCCCTGAAGAATTCAAAGTGATTAAAACACAGCCTCTCTCTACAGATGACTTATTAATAACGGATAGTAAGCTGGATACTGTAGTGGAGAAAGTGGGTTTCCCGGCAATCAAAGCAAACATCACTGACACTGTGTCCCTCCTAATGGGAGACGCTGATGACAAAGCATCACTTTAGTGGCATGTCTGCCCCAAATACATAACCAAAATCCAACTGTGAGGAAATATCAGATAAACCTAGGTGAGGGGACATTCTTCAAAAGAACTGAACTGTACTTTAAAAATGGCATTGGCATGAAAGACAAAAGTTGAAGAGCTGTTCTAGACTAAAGGAGACTAAAGAGATGTGAGCAGTGGTACAAGGCAGGAGACTGACCTGCCTCCAGGATCTGGGGGAGTTGCCATCAAGGGTAGCTAGTAAAATTTGAATTTGGATGGTATTTGAGGTCATAGTATTATTGAATCAAGGTTACATTTTCTGTATTTGATAATTGTACTGTGGCTATATAAGAGAATGTCATGTTCTTAAGAAGTACTCGCTGAAGTATTTAGGAGTAAAGAAGCATGTTGTCTACAACTAACTCCCAAATGGTTTAGAACAGGAGTAGGCCAACTTTTTTGGCAAAAAGGACTAGTAGTCAAGATTCTAGGCTTTACGGGCCATATGGTGTCTGTCACAACTACTCACTCTGCCATTGTGGTGCCAGAACAGCCTTAGACAATATGTAAATGAACGGGTGTGGCTGTGTTCCAATACGTTTATTTATGGATACTGAAATTTCAATTTCATATACTTGTCACATATTATAAAATATTCTTTTGATTTTTTTTTTCCAACCAAAAACGATTTCTAGCTTACTGCCCATCTGCCTGCACAAATCAGGTGGCCAGATTTGGCCTGTAGGCTGTAGTTTACTGATGCCTGATACAGAAAACACACACACACACACACACACACACGGAGACAAAGCAAATATATCATAATGCTAACAGTTGGTGAATCTGAGTAAAGGGTATAGGAGAAGTCTTTGTACTCTTATTACAATTTTTTTTGCAAATTTTAAGTTATTTAAAAATTAAAAGTTAAATAAAAGAGAGACACAGTGTTCCTCTCTGGGGACCCTGGAAGGAAAGAGTGTGGATACTGTATGCTTCCTGGGGACCGAGGCCTCTCATCTGGGGGCCAGACCAAGTGAGACTTGCTCACAGCATTCTTTGATGTTGCTTCTGATTGTTACCTAGTCATATGTCACTGCCTTTACTTCTTCCTTATTTTCTAGTTTAATCTTCGCATCAAGGGACCCTGCTTGGTAGAAATGAGCATTTGGGCTTCTGGCCTTGCTATTTGACCATCCCTTTTTTCTCTCCCTCCACCCAAGAAAACAGTCACTGTAAATATGTTCATTGAATTAATGTTTTTAATTTCATAGCCTCCATTTTACATACTGTTTTCTCCAAATTGTTGTATTTATCTTAGATGGTCAAAAGTTGAGAGGGAGTGGATTGTCTTCCTGCATGTGGCATTATTTTGGAGGAAGTGCTGTGGCAGCAGTGTTGAGAAGTCGCTGTGTTCCATTCCCCCTGCATTGTGGCCAAATCTCTTGTATTTCCCCTGGCTTTGTGGCCCTCAATGATTACTTCTAGGAATGAGATACTGAGTTGATTGCAGTGACAGCCTGTGGTAGGGAAGGCTGCCTATGAGGGAAGAGCTATGTTTTTTTCTTAGTTGACTTAGCAAGGGCTCACTTCATTGCCAGGATGAGAAACCCAACACAAACTGGCCTAGGGAAGAAGGAATTTATTAATTCATATCACCAAGAGTATTGGATAGATAGCATTACATTCAGACCTGGCTAGATCCAAGAGCTGAAATGATGCTGTAAGAATTCTGTCTCTTACCATGTCTCAATTCTGTTTTCCTGTTTGGCTTCATTCTTAGGCAGGCTGCCCTCACTCAGCAGCCTCAGGTATACCTTTGATCAGATTAGCAAACTCAGAAGAAAGAGCCATTTCTAAACCAGTACCAGCCAGAATCCCAGAGCCGATTCTCATTGGCCCAGTGTGAGCTCAGTGTGTTCACCTCTGATCCATCAGTAGCCAGGGAATTGGAGGACACTGATTAGCCAGGCCTGGATCACATGCCCATCCTTGGCATGGGGATGGAATGTCAAACCATCTGGACTAAGAATTGATGATAGGTGGCCCCTCAAAGGCATATTTGGATGCTGTTACCATTAGAAGGATGGGATCTGGGCAGAAAAAAAACAGTTCGTTATCACACAAGTGCTGTGTTGTACTGCCTTCCCTGAATTTCAAAGCCACATCTTTGATATTGTAGTTGTGTCTTGTAGCTGTCAGACTGTAATCTCTAGTCATATCCCATTGGCACAAGCAAGCTATGAAAAAAATGACCTATTCACATTCTCCCATATGCCCTGCCTGGGCTCCTTCGTCCCTCAGGAAACTCACAGGGTCTACAGGCAGAAGCTGGAGGAGCTGACTGCACTCCAGACTCTGTGTAGCAGCTGCATCAACAAGCAGAAGACACGACTAAAAGACTTGAAGCACACACTCCAGAGGTAGGTGTGGCTGCAATTCAAAGACTTCTGGTTTTAAGGGACAGAAACCCAACTCAAAGCTGACTTGAGCAGAGAAGGGAAATTTTAATGGAAAAAACAGGCATAACTTCAGGCATTGCTGGATCCAGGGGTCAAAGTGTGTTTTTAGGAATCTGTTTTTTTCTTCTAAATTCTGCCTTCCTCTAGATTGGTTTCACTCTCAGGATAATTATTCCTTCATGGTCACCAGAATGGCTACCAGCAGTGCCAGGCCTATATCCTCCAGCCTCACTTCCTACTGGCTTGGCCATCCCAGAAGAATGAGAATTTGTCTTTCTTTAAAAGTTCTGGGTGTGATCCTCATTGACCAGAACTGGTCATACCTCTGTTTGTGAACCAATCACTGAGATCCTGGTTAGGTAAGGCTAGGTCATATGCTTAGTTCATAGACCTGGGGGATGGGATGACCTACTTGAACTATGGCGGCGGGTAGGGGAGGAGGATGAGAGGTAGTGTCCCAGAGGAAAGTTGTTATAAGAAGTCCTGTTGAGCAGGTCAACAGCAAATATCATTTTCATGGATATGGGGGCTCACCCCACCTAGGAATCTGGCGTTAAGAAGTCTGGCATGCCTGGTGGGGACATACTTCAGTTCACGACTTAGTTCGGTTCCTGAGGGCAGGATCACATGCTCACATCCGAATCCTCATGTCTTCATGGTTTGGGTGCTCTCATCCCCACAGGTGAAGGAGTTCAGTGGATGCTGTAACCCTCACCCTTCCAGGCAGGCAGGGAAACTGAGGCTCTGAGAGCCTTGTCCCAGGTCACTTAACTGGGCCTCCATTCCAGAGTGTGTGACTCCTGGTCAATTCTTCCTTTCCTTTGTGGAAAATTTTTGGTGAGGTTATGACTATACCCCTAACTTTGGCTAACTATTTGGAAATGGAGGACCATTAGTTGTGGGGTAGAATATGGATGGTTCCATGTAATGCTATCTCCACTCTTGGAAAAACACATCTTACTGATGGCAAGACTCAGAGTCTTTTATCAATCTGGGGTTTTTCAGTCTCGGCACTCTTGATAATTCTTTGCTGCAGGAGGCTGTTGTGTAATATTTAACAGCATCTCTGGCCTCTCTCCACTAGATGCCAGTAGAACTTTCTACCCTGTTGTGATAACTAAAATGTTCCCAGACAGTGCCAAGTGTCCCCAGTGGAGAACCACTGGGTTAGAGGGTAGACCCATGAGAACCCTACTATTCTGAGAGTCTGTTTACTGACTTGTTTTTGTAGTTTTGAGAGTTAAATGTCACCAGAGAATGACAGCCAGGCCTTGATGGTTGACTGCCTATTATTCAAAGTGCTTTCCTGCTGTCCTCTTAATAACCTTCAGTTTATTCCTTTAGACTAGGGAGGACAGTATTACCAGTAGACATCCATTGTATCCATTGATATCCATATCATCCTCAATGCGTTATGTTGCATTTACTGATTTAACCGTCACAGTGGTATTGTCAGTGAGGTAGGCCTGATGCTATTTCCTGTTACTAGGTATAGAAAGTAAGGCAGAGTGGTTAAAGGACTTTGCCAAGGTCACAAGGCGAGCAGAGAGCCAGCCTCAAATTCAGAGAATACAGATGGAAAACTGAGGTTGCAAGAAGCATTGAGATGGAAAGATAGGAGAGCAGTGCCCAGAGCTTCCAGATTCTTCCTCTAGTCTTGAATAATGCCCCTGCTTCTCCTAAGCCCACACCTCTGACTACAGGTACAAGCGCCATGCCAGCCGGGAGGAAGCAGAGCTTGTTCAGCAGATGGGTGCCAACATCAAGGAGAGGCAGAACATCTTCTTTGACATGGAGGCCTACCTGCCCAAGAAGAACGGGTAGGAGCTGGGAACTCACCTCTTCCCCTGCCAAGGGCAGGTGCCCAGGCCTAGAATACCTAGTCTGTATAACTCCCACCTCCCTGTTGGGCTTGAGGTTGAAGGGAAAAGGGGGAAGCAAGGGCAGGAAAGAGAAGGAAGTGTCCTTACATGCTCATCTATGAACCCAGGAAGGGACCTCAGCCCCTGTTGTATAGTAGTGACATTTGTGGGGTAACATTTGCTAGGAACTAGATGAAGGATCTGGTTCTAGCACCTGCCACATGCCTGGTGCCACCTGGCATTAAGAGGAAAGATGTTTACTCCCAAGAGAATCAACATTTATTGAGTGCCTGCTATATACCCAGCATTGTGCTGGTAGTTCTCTTGATGTCAGTCATGTTATCCTCAAGTACCTGGTAAGTCAGAACCAGGTCCCCATTCAACAAGGTCAGGGACATTAGTGAGTATGTTGCCTAGGTAGCTCAGCCCCCGTTTGGCCAAACTAGGATGCAAGCACTAGACACTCTGAGTCCAGAGCTTGTGTTCTTTCCATCTTCCCCCTTCAGAGGAGTCCCCACTCCTCCCTCCATTGACATCACTGCCTCCCTGTTCTGGAGGAACATCCTTACAGTGTTGTATCATGGCCTAACTTGGGCTGCTAAGCCTGTATCACCATTTCATTCTGACCCTTCCTCATGGTATGGTCTAGCTCTGAGTCACAGCCTCCTGCCAGGAGGCTCACTAATCCTTTTACACTTTAAGCCTTTACTCCAGTCTCCTGCCTTTTTTCCTGTGTTTAGTTAAAAACTCCATGAGTTGAGTGGTGATGATTTTACACAGAATGAAACAACATGACCCTCTTTTACAGTGTGGCTCAAATCCACTTTCCCATCTCCAGGCTGCCCAGTCCTGTATGCATCTTACACCAGTCAGAAATCTCTGGATTAGAGAAGACAGAAAACCCAACTCAAAATTCTTTGAGGAAAAAAAGGGATTTGTTGTTCATGTAACTAAGAAGTTCAGGTGTAGCTGTACTTACAGCTGGACTCTGATGGTCAGATGATAACTGCTAAGGATCTGTCTCATTTAACTTTCAGTTAACTCTTTTCCAGTGTGTTTTATCTTAGGCAGGCTTTCTCTACAAGCTGGCCCCAGCAGCTCTGGGTTTGTGTCTTGTCTGCTTCACAGTTACAGAAGAGAAAGCCTCTTTGTTCCTTACTCCTGGGAAAAATCCCAAGACTGGTTCTCCTTGGCCTGCATTGTGTCACATGATCAGTATTGATCCAATCAGGAGGTGGTATGGCTTTGATTGGCTGAGCCTGAGTCACGTGCCTTACCTTAGGGGCCTTGGGAGAGAAGTGATTCTTGGAAGAGAAATTGTACTGCCCTTTCAGGAATTAGGGACTGTATGCTAGGAAGGAAAAATAGGTGCCCTTTTCACACCTCTGCTCCAGTTACATCAGACTGGAAATGCTCCTAGAATTTACTAATAACTAGAAAGAGGAATCCCCTTTTCCCTTTTCTCCTCTCAAACTTCTACTCATCCCTCAAAGCCCAGGACAGATGTTATCACCTCAGTGAAGCTGTTACAAACCTTTCTCCCTCAATGGAATTAGCCCTCTGCCCCTAGAATCTCATAACCCTTTATTTGCACCTTTATTAGTGTGTTAAAGTGCAGGATATTGTAACAGAAGCCCAATGATAACAGACTCAAACAAGTACGAGGTTTTTCTCTCACATAACAGTCAAGGTGATTGGGCCCAGTGTGGTGAGCTCATGAGGTCATCTAGGGACTTAGGATCCTTCCAACTTACTGCTTAACCACCCTTGGGGATATTGTCTTCATCTGCATGGCCAAACTTGGCCAATACCATCACATTCCCAGAAAGTGGGGAAGAATAAGGAATGGAGGGCAGGATCCCTGCTTACAAAAAAGCATTTGCCATTTCCTAGTGAAGCCAAACACATGCATACCCTGCAGCCCAGAAATTCCACTGTTGGTTATGTACCCAACGTAAGTGAGAGCTTATATCCTTGGAAAGGCAGATACGTATGTTCACAGCACAGAAGCTGGACACAAAAGGCCACATATTGCATTAGCCTATTCACATGAAATGTCTAGAACAGGCATATCCATAGACATGAAGTAGATTTGTAGGTGCCAGGAGCTGGGGGAAGGGAGGAATGGGGAGTGACTGCTGATGGGTACAGGCCTTCTTTTTGGGGTGATGAAAGTATTCTAGAATTAAGTAATGGTGATGGTTGCACGACATTGAGAATATACTAGAAACCATTAAATTGTATACTTCAAAAGGTAATGTTATGGTATGTGAATTGGATCTAGATTTAAAAAAGGGAATGTTCACAGCAGCTTTATTCTTAATAGCTCAAAGCTGAAAACAAGCCAAATGTTCAATAATAGCAGAATGAATAACTAAGTTGTGGTATCTCGACTCAGTGGGATACTACATACAATGAAAACTACATACAATAAAGGAATTACTGATGCCCAGACAACATGGATGAATCTCACAGACATAACCTTGAGGGAAAGGAAGCCAGGCATAAAATAGAACATGCTATGTACATTATGTGAAGTTCAAAAATGGTCAAAACTAATCCATGGTGATGGGAAACACAGCAGTGGTGACCCTTGGTGGGCAGGGAGCACAAAGGAGTCTTCATTGGCTGGAAGTTTTTTATTCTATGATCTAGGTATTGGTTCTATGGATATGTAAGTATGTAAAAATTCATCATGTTGTATACTTAAGACTTGTGCACTTATGAAACTTACAGCTTAATTTAAAAAAGAGCCCTTTTGAAATTGATGTGGAGATTGTTCACATGCCTTCACCTCATTGGCTGGAACTTAGTCACATGCTCACATTAACTGCAAGGGACCCTGGGAGATAATGGTCTCTAAGCCAGCTACAATGGGGGGGAATGGGTTAGTCCTGTCCTTTGTCACAGTTGTCACATTCTCTAATCATTATTCTCACTTGATGTGAGAATTTTACTGTGTGCTAAGCATTTTCCAACTTCTATTGCTCAGTGCATGCTTATTAAACTTGAATGTTTTTTGTTTGGGGCCCTATTCCCAGAGCTGTTAAGGAATGTGGCAGCCCTCACAGGTCTTTCCTTCCAGGCTCTACTTAAATCTGGTCCTCGGCAACGTGAATGTGACCCTTCTCAGCAACCAGGCCAAGTATGTATCCCAGATCCCCACCTGGTTTTACAGAATCCAAGGCATTTTGCTCTTTCAACTTAGGAGAGATGGGACCAAGCTAGCTTTTTTGCATAAATAAAAAAGTAACAGTTGGAGCCCTGGCTTTTCGTCTTTCTGACACTCTCCTTCTCCATGGGGAGACCACCTGGGGGAGGTTTCCTTCCTTCATTCACAGAGTTGGCAGATGGGACTGCCACTTTCCTGTGAGAAATGGGCGCTGCTCTATTCCAGGCCTTATCACACACTTTTCTCCTAGGAGGCAGGCAGTCCTGTCCACTTGAATCTATCCATTTCCAGGGGAAATGGAGCCATGGCATTTCTGATGCAGTAGCTGGTTGGGAGAGAAGACCCTGTCTCTACCTCTGCCCATCCCCATCCCAGGCCCAGAGCCCTACACCAGGAGTCCATTGATTGTCACCATTAATTCAAGGCCAAGTCTCCCCTTGAGTGTGATCGGAAGACCCTGTGGGATGTGGGTGGTGGGAGATCCAGGATCTAATGGGACTGAAAGCCCCATCCCCAGATGACATGTAGTTATTTTACTGTAAGTCTAGTAACAGGTGATCTTTCCTGGGGACGTCTGTCAGATGTAGTTACATTATTGTAAGTCTAGTAACAGGTGACCTTTCCCGTTTCCTGGGGACACCTGTCACTGCAGATTTGCCTACAAGGATGAGTATGAGAAGTTTAAACTCTACCTGACCATCATCCTGCTCCTGGGTGCTGTGGCGTGTCGATTTGTCCTTCATTACAGGTAATGGGGTGTGATGGTGCGTGGGGGCATGCAGTGGGTGGGGTCGGGGGACTCGTCTGCATCTGCAGCGATTGGTGTGATAAGGTGTAGGTAGAGAAGGGCCATTTCTCACGCAGAGTGGCAGTCCCGTCCACCCTACATCCATCAGCAAACAAAGCATCCCATCAAATGGCTGCTGAAGAAGGAAGGCACTGTGGTGGAGTAGTCAGGAAAGAGTCCAGTGGCACACCCACACAATGGGTATTATCGGGCCTAAAAAGGGATGAAGCACTGACATGTGCTACCCCATGATGAACCTTGAAAGCATGATGCTGAGTGAAAGAAGTTAATCACAGAAGGCCACGCATTGTATGATTCCATTTAAATGAAATATCCAGAATTGGCAAATCCGCAGAGACAGAAAGTAGATTAGTATTTGCCAGGGGTTCTGGGGAGGGGATATGGGTACAGTTTCTTTTGGAGTGATTAGAATGTTCCAGAATTAGATAGTGATCATGGGTGCACAACTCTGAATATACTAAAAGCTACTGACCTGTATACATTAGAAGAGTGAATTTTATGGTATGTAAATTATATCTCAATTACAAAAAGAGTGAGAAAGAGGGAAAGGAATGAAAGGAAGGTAGATCTCAGCCTGCCTGAGTTTGAATCCTGGCTTTGAGACTAATTGGTTCTTACCATGCGCAGGTTCCCTCTGGGAGCCTCAGTCTCTGCATTTGTACAGCCAGGGTGGCACCAGTGTCTACTTCACAGCGCTGCTGTGATGACTCAGGTCATTGAAACTACGCAGCAGGCTCTGCCTATGCCTGGCACCCAGTGGTGGCCTTGAGAGCGCCGGCTGCTGCTGTTTGAGTAGGAGGAGGCCGTGCTGCTCTGAGAGGCCGAGGCCAGTGGCCTGAAGCTGTACTGCTCCTGGGGATTTTGTTTCTCCTTCTGGCCCTGGGTTTTCCCCCTGAAGGGGAGGAAGCCAAGTACAGCCTGGGCATTTGATCCACATGTCAGGGGGTGTTTCTAGGCAGGGAGTCCAGTTGCTGACCTGGCCACTTGAATGTCCAAACAAAGGCTTTTTAAGGCTCTGGACCTGTGCCCACTTGCTGCCTGGGCCTGGCCTATTTGCCTGGAGGGCAAAGGCTGCACACATCAGTGATGCTTGCTCACATGTCCTTCTGGAAGGGGTTAGAAGTTCTTGATGTGTAACCAGATTCCCTTGCACTGGGACCCCTGGGACCCTTATAGGGCAAACCTGTAGTGTACTGTCAAGTTCTAAGGTTTTCTGAGGGCCTGGGTATTTCCATTTCTCTCCATCCCTTTCTGTACTCATTTCCAGGAGATCTGATAACAAAGCACCACAAACCAAGTGGCTTAAAATAACAAAGATATATTTTCTCACAGTTCTGGGGGCCAGAGTCTGTGGGCAGGACTGTGCTCCCCTTGAAGGCTCTGGGGGAAGACCCTTCCTTGCTTCCTCCAGCTCCCGGCATGGCCGGCAGTCCTTGGCTTTCCTTGGCTTAAAACTATTTCAGTCTGGTCTCTGCCTCATGCACCTCAGTCCTGCCACATGGCCTCTTCCTGGGGTGTCCCTCTGTCTCTCTCATGGTCTTCTGAGGACATCAGCCATTGAATTTAGGGCCCACCATAGCCCAGCATGACCTCACCTTAACTAATTACATTTACAAAGACCATGTTTCCAAATAAGGTCATATTCTGAGATCCTGGGTGGACATGCATTTTTGGGGGGACAATATCAACCCAGTGTGCCTTCTGCGGGCTAAAATAGGACAGGGGTGGGGTGCTGGATGAGCAGCTCATCTCTGTTCCCTCACCCTCAGGGAAAACTGCCCTGCTGTTTAACCTTGGGCAAATGACCTAACCTCTCCCCGCCTCAGATTCTTCACATAGAAAATGAGGATATCAAGAGTGTTTTGGCAGGGTGGTTGTGAGGACTGGATGAGTTGTTTGTTGTATTCAGAGCAGTGCCTGGCACACAAGTGCTGTGTAAAAGTTAGTGGTGGTTGTGATTACCACCACCACTTTGTGCAAGGTTGGCAGGCTCAGAAAAGATCCACCTTAACAGCCAGTGCATCCTAGGAGCAGGGCTTTCTTTCCTTACTCTTTCTTCCTTGGGATTGCTTCCTTGCTGGGTGCCCCACCCGAAGGCCCTTCCATGACCCTAACCTACGTGTAGCATGGCCAACATCCTTCAGAGCCCAGGGTTCTGGGTCCAGCTCTGCCAGTCATGGGTTTTGTGACCTTGAGTGGAGCCCTTGACCTCTCTGTTTCTGCTTCCTTATCTTTCCCATGGCCAGAGGACACCCACTCTACTCTAGGCTCAAAGAGTGGGTGGAGAGTGTGATGCTTCCTTCTTCCACCATCAGGCCAAGAGGCTGTGTCTAGGTGAGATTGTTGGGACCAGGTTGGGAAGCAGGCAGAAAAGAGGTGGTTAGAGTTAAGTGTGGGTTTGGATCTCAGTCCTGAGCAACTCACTTCCCCTCTCTGAGCTTCAGTTTCTTCATCTGTAAAATGGGAAGTAGTATTAGTTTGGGTTCCCCTAGAAGAGACCCCCAAGACAAGCATTTGAGTGCCAGTAGCTTATTTGGCAGGAGATCCCAGAAAACACTGGTAGGGGAATGGGAAGTGAGACAGGAGGGGCCGTCCTGTGGACACCTGGAGCTCAGTGCTGCTGAGATCTGGGGATGTGCCTCAGTTAATCTGCCTAAGGGGCAAGGGAGCAGGGGTATTTATCCTCTAGCTACTACTGCTCAGGGGAATTGAGGACTTCTCCCTGCGGGTGTTAACTCCCCTGTGCTCCTGATCTGCCGCACACACACCAGCAGAATAAGATGTCAGGGAGTTCTTAAGCTCATCTTATAGACAATTCAGGCCATAGAGGTTTTTTTTTTTTGTATGTGCAACAAAGTTTATAGATGGTTTGAGGGGGCAGAGGGGATTTACATCTTGACATTGTAGACAGTTTAAAATAGAATATTAGGTTTCCTGCTTAAAACCTTATTACCATCCCACCAGAAATCTCTCATCAGACAGTAAGAATTTAGAAAGTTGTGAGGTTGATGTGGGCTGAATGGTGGGGGAAGGAGAGAAAGCCTCAGCTGGAGTCTTAAGGGCAGGCAGGGTCCTGTATGAAGGTGAGGAGGGGAGGCATTCTAGGGGAGGCCAAGCTCCCTGAGCCTTCCTTGGGACCTAGAAAGTTTCCAGAGGCGTGCCTGTACAGGCAGCCCTCACCCTGGTTTGCTGTTCTGCTGCACTGGGGCCAGGACAGCTGTCCCTGGTTCTGATGCCTGCTTCCCTCCGTGGGGCTGTTTCTCCATTCCAGGGTGACAGATGAAGTCTTCAACTTCCTGCTGGTATGGTATTACTGCACCCTGACAATTCGGGAGAGCATTCTCATCAGCAATGGCTCAAGGTAATCGGGGGCCCAGCTTTGTGGTGAGTATAAGGGGATCCAAAGGGAAATCTGTCCTGGAGGGGAGGCAGGTGAGAGCTGTCACCCTCCCAGCCTGTACTCCCTTCCTTCTTGAGGGGGGTGGGTCCATGACTATCCAGACCCAGGGAGAAGGAAAACCAGGTTGCTACAGAGTCACTTGCTATGGTCCATCTCTTGCTTACAAGAAACTCTAACTCAAGTGGGTTTAACACAACAGGAACTTGTTTTCTCATATCAAGAAACTGGTCCACTGGGACAAACTTCAGGTAAAGCTTAATCCAGGTGCTCAGACAATGTCATCAGAACCCAGTTTCTCTCCATGTGTCACCTCTGCCTTCTACTTTGTTGTCTATATTCTCAGGCTCCATGTAGAGTCACCCACCAGCTCCAGGCTCACATCTTTATTTCTAGCATTCCCAGCAAAACAGGGCACATCCTCTCTTCCAAGAGTTTCACTGGGTCCTTCTGGTGCTTGCTGATCGTGTGCCCATCACTGAGCCAGTCACTGTGGCCGGAGAATGCATGACTGCGATTGGCCAGGTTGAGCTTCTGCATGCCCTGTGGCCCTCCTTAGAAGCCTGGAAGCTTCCTGGAAGCTTCAGGAGTAGAATGGTTCCCCAGAGGAAAATGGGATACTGTCACTAGAAGGACAAGTGGGTTCTGGTGACGAGAGTGCATGGTCCCCCACGGGAGATGGGAAGGATGGTGGACAGATGCTGAGGGCCTGGGGCCAAACCTGCCTTGTCCCAGAGCCACTTCTGGGGAGGAAGATGGCTAGGCTGAGAATGAATACCCCTGATTTCTGGTCCCAGTGCTGTCACCCAAAAGATCCATGACCTGGGACAGTTGATGTCCCCTTTTGGACTGTTTCAGACACACTATTGTGTCTCAGTGCTGCTGAATCTAAACTAAGCACTGTTGGGGTCCCCTGGTTCCTCTATATCTAAAGGCCTCCAAGGACAGGGAGCCCCACTGTTTTCTTTCAGTCTCCTTTCTGCCTGCCTGTGTCTGAGCTGAGAGTCTCAGGAACATTAAGATCCATGACCTGCCACCTGCAGGACCCATTTTCCGAAGGTCAGATTCCTTTGTGGGGTGGCTGGCTGAATCTCTGTGTGCTATTCATGTCCCTGTTCTTCCAAAAGTAATAGTCACCCACCCCCTCCCCACTTGCTCCCTTCTGGGGGCTAGTAAGGAGCAGCCAGCACCTGTGTGTTTGAGATTGTGGGCATTAGCCAAACCCCAGGTAATATGCTACCTTCTCGCCTTTCCGCCCAGTGGTCTGTTATGGAAGGTGTCTCCCCTGCCGGGCCTTAACTGGAATATAGAGGCAAGAGGTAAGGACCAGGGAACAGAGATTCTTAGGTACACATCCCTGTAGCATGTAGCCCTTTAGAAAAAAAAAAATCAGTGTTTCTCAAACTGCACTCTTGTCCCATCCATGCCATTTTTGGCAAAAGCACATATCACCTCAATGATAGTTTTCTCACATTTTAAACCAACCTTCTCCTTTTTCTTTTTTTTTTACTTAAATAAGTATTAGTTTATTCCAGAAGGAAATTTTATTTCACCACTGTACATGGAAAACCAGCATCACTTGCAGGAAAGAGGAAGTAGCGTAAAAATCTTTTCATTTTCATTGTATAACTTAACTGAAGTCAATTACTCTTGCTTCCTGAAGGCTCTAAGCTTGAGGTCTGCTCTCTCTGTGTATATACATGTGTAAAAAGGGATATTAGCAGATCTTGAGAGGCATTAAAGCTGTACTAGCATCTAACCAAGATGCTCTCCTTGACTTAATCAGGAGAATGGAAAGAGAAGTGAAAAGTGATTTCTCACCATGTGATTCTCTAACATCTAGTGTTATGTTTGATTATCATCTAAAGTTCCTCCTGCTTTGGGGAACGCTGAAGTAGAAAATCTTACCAAATAAATAACATTCATAGTTCTCCTTAATTTTAGTTTACCAGAGGTTACCAGAGAAAAATTGTACCTTTCTGCTTTGGGTGTGGTTGGAGGGGAGCCAGGGTAGTATATAATGGGGAAATGGGGCCAGGGCAACTGGCAAGGCATCTTTGTCAAGGATCCTCTTCCTGTACCTGTGGGTTTGTCATCTGTCTTGCAGCTTCACCATCCTGATGGACTCACATTAAGAGCGTTCAGGGGCATGCTACATGTCTGCCAGTCACTGATACTTTAGTAAGAGTTACTCTGGTCAGCTCTTTTTCTAGTATGATATGTTGTGAATGGGAGGTTACCAGAGAAAAGGAAACAGGACTGACTGGAGGTCCCCGCAAGTGTGAGGCACACCAGGAAAATGGGGCAGGGAACAAATGGGAGAAGAACCTGGTTCCAAAGCCAAGTGTTATTCAGCTACTTTAGCAGGGGCTTTTCTGGGGCCTCCTTGGAGCTCATGTTCTTATGGGACAGCAGGGCTGTTTCTGAGCTTGTAATGCAAAGCTCTCCATGTGGGTCCACTCTTCCCCCCAATCTGTCATTTTTCACACATTTGTTGAGCATCTCCCAGGAGCCAGACACTGAACTAGGAACTCCAGGATAGCTCACACTCTGTGCCTTTTGGGAGCACTTGGAGTTGTTTTTAAAAAGATCCACTCATGGCAAACATGGTTCAGGAATCTCCAATTGTAATGGCACTGGTCCTCTAGGCCTGTCTTCCCTCTGGCCTGGGCTGGGGTTTGGATGTGGTGGTGAGTCTGAAATGGGTGAGGTTTCTCATCTTCTGGAATGACTGTGGGAGTTGTGGCCAATTTATAGGGGCATGGCAGGTGGGCCAAACCTGAGTGACTAAAACATGTGACTCATCCTCAGTATCTGTTTGATACTTAGCCTCCTTCCTCCCCAGCTCCTTCTTGGAGCTGATTTCTCCAGGGAGCAGGCAAGGGAGCTGCCTTAGAGGTTCCCCGTTGCAGCTGGCGCTTACCAGGGAATAGCAAAGAGAGAGCACGTGAGGAGCGGGGAGGGGTCCAGACTGGGAGGAACTCTGCCTTTCTCATTTCAGAAGCATCCCAGGGCCAGTGCAGGAGCTTAGGAGTGGTACCCAGTAAACACCCCTTGGGCTTTGTAGAAATTAATCAGACTCAAGCTTTGCAGTGAAGGATTGTTCTTGGGGCCATGCCAGCGTTCCAGAGACAGCAGAGCTGAGCCATATGGGCTTCCTGGAGTCTTGCTGCTCTGTTTTGTTCTGTTCCCCATTGCATCTGAGACCTGAATTAGGGCTGTGGTCAGGGAACCAGGTCTAGAGAATTGGGGATGTGCAGGGACCCCGCATGTGGAATGGAGCCACCCTTGGTTTGTGTCTGATATCTCTCATCTGAGATGTAGTCCATTAACTCAGTTACTGCAATAAGCAAATCAATTTACTTTGCAAATTTTACAAATGAGGGAAAACCACCAGTAGGAGTAAACATGAAAGGGGAACATATATATGGGGGCATATAAATAGTCCAAAGAGGTGAAAAGGTTTCAAACAACATTAACAGCCCCATCCTCATCCTCATCCCTTTGTCCCCTTGCTGCAGCCCAGGCTGGCGTCCCACTGCATCACAAACCGAGAGGAAAAAAAACTCCTTTCCTCTGCAGATCTAGCTGCGATCTTGAAACAGGCTTCTGATTGGCTATTCTCAGGGCACATGCTCATCCCTGAGCCAATCACTGTGGCTGGAGGGATGCAGACCCCTGATTGACTGGCTCTGAGTCATGTACCCAGTTATATTCCTCACCTGCAATGCAATTAACCTAGACTGAGTGTGGGGGTGAGGTGGTTCCCAGAAAGCCAGGGTGGGAACCAGAATTGAAGGTGATTGATAAGCAAAACAGCAGCCGTACAGCAGCCGTCCCCTACAGTTAGTTCTGGGCCAGAATTAATTGTGAGTCAGGAATCACAGTGGCTTTTCAGCCCATGGGTGTCTGGTTCCAACCTGCTTTTATAGAGGCCTTTCCCAGGATGCAGAGGTGTAGGGGGTGGCAGGTGAAGGAGGGATCCTCAGTGTAGAAGCCATTCACACAACCGTCCAGATGACCTGAAGCTCAGCCAGAAACTGCTGAAATTGTAAAGTGAGTGGTGCACATACCTGTGCACACATGCAAATGTAGCTAAGGTGTCCTGAAGGGAGGACTGTGGTCTCCTGGGCCCAATACTCCGTTCTTGCCATGTGTGCATCTCTCTTCTTGGGGCATCCATTGACTGCTCATTAGAAAACCCACAAGCCTTTGCAGGCTTCATTTCTGTGGCAAATCAGGCCCAGAGAGTGACATGATTTTAGAGTTTCTTTTTGGGATGATAAAAATATCCTAAAATTTATTATGGTCATGGTTGCACAATTCTGTGAATATACTAAAAACCACTGAGTTGTATACCTTAAATGGGTGAATTGTGTAGTATCTGAATTTTATCACAATAAAACTGTTACATAAACACACATTCACATGCACAACACCAGCCCAGAGTCCTGGGGTATACAGATGGATGATGGGGCTTGTGAGTGCCACACTGGGGAAGGAGCAATTTCTAGCCTCTCCCAGGGCCACTGAGCTGTTTATTGGCGGCATCTGTCAGAGCTGGGCTCTGGGCATTGTGAGCTGTGAAATTAAAAGCTGCTGCTCATCCAGGCTTGCTGCACAGACGGAGAGAGGGCATTTCTTGGGGGGCTTCAGGGAGTAGGACAAAGGACCAGGGCTTGCCAAGACTTGAGGGCTTGTGTGGGGCTTTGTAGAGAACTGGGGAGGTTCCAGAGATGCTTCTTGTGTGCTCTTCAAGCTGAAGTCTGAGGATAGGGCCAACTGTCTTTTCTATTGGAAAATTAAAGCCAAGGGCCCTCGTAGACCCTGACAGGCAAGAAGGGGATATGGGGAGGGGGAGACTGGGAACAAAGGAGCGGATGGCCTCTCATCCTGCTCTGTGAACTCCCTTGGCACCTGCATCAATCTTCTGTCACCTCTGTGCTGGTGGCATCTAGAGCAGCTGCTGCTTTGACCAGCCACACTCCAGGACATCATTCATTTCAATGTGTATTAAGTGCCTACTGTTTACCTGGTGCTGTTAGTGCTAGGAATAAAGAGCCACAAAAAACCTTGCTCCTCACCACAACCCTTGGGACATCCATGGACCATGGTGTGAACTCCTAATTTATGTCCAGAACTATTGTAGGGCTGCAAAGAGAAGAGATTACTAAGATTTAGTTCCTGCTCTTACAATGTCTGTTCTGGTTGGAAGGTTTTTCAGACCACTCAGACCCACTTATTAGGGCAATGCAAATCAAAACCTCAATGACACACCAATTTTCATCCAATAAAATCAGAAATGTAAAAATTTGGTGTCCACCATTGGTGTGGGCTTGGGGAACCAGACATTCTCCTCTATTGTCAATGTGTTTGTACATTGGGTTGGCTATCATTTTTGGAGGGCAATTTGACAAGTTACAATGCACACACACTCTGACCCAGCCATCCTACTGGGACAGGGAGGCGGGGTGGGGTCCTGGTAAGGTTAAGATGTGTTCTTAGCATAGAGTGAAGCCCCTGGAGGCCCAAGTGCTTCTGTGGGTCTGGTGGCTAATCTGTGAGTGGTTATGTCTGATGTGCATCTCTGCAGGACAGAGAAACAGGCAGAGTCATGGCTTGGGTCTGTTTCATGGCTATTTTAGGGCTCAGAGGGGCCCCTGCACTTACAGACTGGAAGGCAGGGAGAGACCTGTACTTCCTTCCCCACCTGAGCACCTTTCCTTCTCTTCTCTCCAAGAATTAAAGGCTGGTGGGTTTCTCACCACTACGTGTCCACGTTCCTTTCTGGAGTGATGCTGACCTGGTGAGTGGCTCCTACTACCTCTGCTCACCCTCCCCAGGGGGGTGAATGGGGAGTTGTCAGTGGGCGAGGGGTCTGGATGGGGGCGCTTTCCAGGGCCTTGGGCCATGCAGGAAAACATGAGCATAAACCAGACCACAGGGAACCCCAAGCCATCTGGGCAGTTCTCTAGGGAATGTCTAGTTGGCTTACTGGCTGGAGCAGAGGTGACAGGGAGCAAGGCTGGATAGGAACCAGCACAGGGATGAGGCTGCGGCAGCAAAGGAGACTTAGATGGAGGGAGGAGGAGTCAGCAGGAACCTAGGCTTCACAATGACTACCTGGGCTGCCATGGTTCTGTAACATAGAACCTAATCCAACCCCGGGGGCACTGGTGATAAAGGACAGAAGTTGGGGACCTGGGTTTAACTAGGTAAAAGCTTTTCTTCTCTCTTAGCTGGAGGTGGGTGGGTGTCAATGTCTGATTTCATAGCGTGCCTCACCTTTGCTGTCCCCACTTCTCTTCAGGCCCAATGGACTAATTTACCAGAAGTTTCGTGATCAGTTTTTAGCATTTTCCATATTTCAGAGTGAGTATGTTGCCTGAATTCAGGGGAGGAGGCACAGTTTCCTGTGGCTATTCACTGATACAGGCCCCTGTCACCTCTTGGGAGTGGTGTGAGGAAGGGAGACAGGGGAGATCCCTGGCCAGCCTGGGGCAGAGGAGGGTCCCAGAAATCCAGAACATGGCTGTCTCTCCCCCAGAGCAACTCCATCCTACCACCCAGCCCCCAGCTCTCAGAGAGGATGGCCTGACCCACCCCTACCACCAGGAGCCTCTGTCACCACCCTTTCCTTCCCCAGATCAGAACTTGCAACCTTAGGGTACTGAGTGTTGTTGGGGGCACTATTTTGCTACCTTCAAAATGGAAATATATGTTCTTTTGCTCATTTAAGAATAGTTCTGGATTTATATGCAGTTGGTTCCAGGGCTCACCTCTGCAAAGGAATTGCTTGGCTGACTGGGCACAGAGAGAGCTGTTTTCCACCAAGTACCTGTTTGCTCCCTTTGAATTTTATACTGTGTACATACTGTGCTATTAAAAAATGCAATTTTTAATTTTTAAATAAAACCTTGCTTGCAAACAAATACAAATATATAAAACAGAGTGAAAACAACAGATCTATGTCCTTTCAAACATTTTTATTCATAAATATGTATAATCTGTAAATACAGTATCCCTGTGTACATACAAGCTTTGCTTATAACCTTTTTTTCTTTTAATAATTATGGGTATTATTCCACATCAATACCCAGAATTCTACCTTCTCGTTTTGAGTGACTACCAAATATCCCATTGTATAGAACTGTCTCTTGCTGTCTTGGCATGACACACAGCTCCCAGGTGGTGCTGCCATTCCAGCAAGCATCTGTTGAGTGCCTACTGCATGCCTAGGAAAGCTCTACAAGGTTTTAGTCTGGTTAGGGCTTAGTTGGGTCCTCAGATAATCTAAGAGGGTGTGTGTGTGTGTGTGTGTGTGTGTTGGGGTGTTGTGTGTGTTGGGGTGTTGTGTGTGTGTGTGTTGGGGTGTTATGTACCCTGGTGTGTGTGTGTGTGTGTGTGTGTTGGGGTGTGTGTGTGTGTGTGTGTGTGTTGGGGTGTTATGTACCCTGGTGTGTGTGTGTGTGTGTGTTGGGGTGTTATGTACCCTGGTACCCCCTTGCCTGCCACAGGCCTGTTGCCCAATCCCCCAGGCCCTGAGACAAACCCTGTGTTCTTCCTGCAGGCTGTGTCCAGTTCCTGCAGTATTATTACCAGAGGGGCTGCCTTTACCGGCTGCGGGCCCTGGGGGAGAGGAATCATCTGGACCTCACGGTGGGTGAGTAGCCCAGCCTGGGCAGGTGGAGGGACAGTACTGGCCCCTCCCTGCTCCCCCAACACCCTGCCCCAACTCCCCACACTGGGAGCACATGCCAGTAAGAACATAACAAGACCTGCCATGCACAAAGCCTGAGTTGCTTTTCATAATTCATCATGGATTCTATTTCAGCTGACAAGCTGAGGCCAGCTGTGTGCCAGGCCCTCAGTGCTGGCTTCTTTCTTATCCTTTTAAAAAGTCTATTTTTGTCTGTGTCTTGTACATAATGTTAGCCTAGTGTTTCTGTGCTTATGAAATTTATGTGTAATATCAAACATAAATATATATATGTATATACATTGGGAATGTGTGCTTATCATTATTATTTTTTTAATTCATAGGGGTGGGTGGGTACCTATTCAGAAAAGCTTGAAGACCTCTCTAAGCTTTCAGGGGAAACTGTTTTTTATAAACTGCCAGCTCTTGAGATAGTGATTTTCATCAAATTACTCTGCAAAGTAGGCTCTACTTTGTCAAGACTTGATTGAAATGATGAATGCAAAAGTCCATTAAATGTATATCATCTATATTTCTGCTAAAAAATATTTAAGTTCATTATAAAATGCAAACGCCCACACAAATTAAATAAATTATTTAGAAACATTGTGCTTCACACATGAGTATTCCTTGAGCGTTGCCAAGCCCACTGTAGTTCCTGGTGACGTGATGTGTGAGAGCATTCAGGCCTGATGACAGGTGTTCTGCGTATTCTCTGGGTTATTTTCATACTGAGCATTCATCCACCTACGAGAGGTGAAAGCTGCGCCCCTGCCCTGTTTTTGTTTGTGTCTGGCTGATCTTGGGGTGACTGGAATGGCTGGGAAGTGGGTGTTTGGTGAGGCAGCCAAATCCTTCACATGGGCCCTTCACTTCTTCCTTCCTCTCCACAGAAGGATTCCAGTCCTGGATGTGGCGGGGCCTCACCTTCCTCCTGCCTTTCCTGTTCTGTGGCCACGTGAGTCCTCCTGGAGTTTGTGGGTCTCATCTGCTCTGGGCTAACCCCCCTCGAACAGGTCTTCTTCCTCACTCACCAGCCGTCCCTGAGCTGGGCTCCACAGGGTCCTAGTGCTAGAACAGCCCCAGGGGTCTGGGATGCCTAAGGCAGAACCCAGAACTGGCCCTCAGCATCAGCGTGCCCAACCCCAGGCTACTCTGGCCTAGGATGCCAATTTCGTTTTGAGGGTTGTCAGTGTCTTAGGGCAGTTAATACCAGAAGTTGGGGACCTGGTCCTCTCCATGGGTTTTTCTTACGTGGGTCCCTGGGGGGATCAGGTGGAGTAACCGGTGCCTGCCTTCCTTCTCTCCAGTTCTGGCAGCTCTACAATGCTCTCACGTTGTTTGAGCTTTCCAGCCATGAGGAATGCAGAGAATGGCAGGTATGGGGTGTGTGTGCATGCGTATGCGACTGTGTGTGGTGGGGGGGGTGGGGGAGGGTCCTGGGGTTCCGGTGAAGGCTGGGTGGGCTTGGGAAAAATTATTTGTTCAGCCACCCTTTACCCCCACCATGGGGCTCTGCTGTCCAAAGCTCCCTCTGCTGGGGCTGGGAGCTTGTGGGAGGAAATTTGGGAGACCAGGGAACCCCCTCTGAGAATCCCAGGGAGGTTTTGCTCCATGAAATGCTCTGCAGGGTGGAGGGAGGAGCCCCCGCCAGAACCCTGCCTGACCCTGTGGACTCATGCCCTTCACCCAGTTGACCCAAATCTGTTTTCTGATGGCTGAGCCCTGGAATTTTGGGGGTGCTGAGGCCCTGGGCTAGGGTGGGTGACTCAGCGGAGAGCTAAGCCCGGCTGGCACAGCCTTCCCTTCTCTCTGCCCACCTCCTGCCCTGGGCACTCTTGTGTTCTGCACATCCCACCCAGGTGTTCGTGCTGGCGCTCACATTCCTCGTCCTCTTCCTCGGCAATTTCCTGACCACACTCAAAGTCGTGCACACCAAACTCCAGAAGAACAGAAACAAGGCGAAGAAGCCGTGAGCCCTGGGACTCGTGCACCCCTCGAGCCCTTGAGACTGCAGGGGAATTCCAGCCAGCACCTTTGCTGCCTGTTTCCTCCCAACACCTCGGGTCAGAGGCCAGTGAGAGCAGCCACCTCAGGGCCCAGGGGCATCGCTGGGACCTGTTGGACAAAAGGAATGTGACCCCAGACTGTCCTTGCAGTGTTAGCTTGCCCCAGCCTCCCTATTTATGACAATATTTAATATGGGGTCCTCTGGACTTCCCTAGCACCCTGCCTTCCCCCTGTGCCCTCTCGGCCAAGACTGGGTTAGTCTTCCTGGTGGGTGGGCCTAAAGCCTCAGGGAGCCCCTCTCTGCCTGCTTCTGTCATTTGAGCCCCTCTGGTTGGGGCTTGGATGTGCTTCACTGGGATTGGAGTTATGCTGACCTGCTACTTACTGAGACCTAGGTGGGGGTGGAAGGAAATCCCTCAGCATCCTGTGGAGCCTCTTTCCCCAGCCCACCTTCTGCTGTAAGCCTCACCGTCTCCCGTCTCCGAGCTTCTGCCCTGGGGATATTTAAGTTCTCAGAGAACTATTGTCTGTCTGTGCCTCTGCTCTTTGTGGTTCTGTAGTCTCCCGCCTGCTGGCCACCTTAGCAAGGTGGCTCTACCTCCCTGAGGCCGGAGTGGTTTCTGACTGGTGGTCACCACCAGAGGGCACCCCAGCCTCTGCTGCATTTGGGTTGTCTGAAGGCGTTTTTGACACCTGAAAGTTTGCTTCCTGACCTCCACCCCTTCCCGAATTCTTGCAGAGAATACTCAGGGAGTGGGACCAAGATCTTCAGCACTGGCTGGGACTTAAGCCATCATGGAGGTCACCCCCTCCTGGCCAGAGGTGCTGGAATGTGGGGGGAAGAGTATGAGCAGGCTCAGGCAGGTGTGCTGGTCACTTGGTGTAGATTGTGTCATTGTGGGGAGGGTTACACGCCAACAGGTTTGGTGGAATGTTCTGCCCCTTCTCCCACACATGGGCCTCAGGTGCCCTTAACTACTTGCCTACAGATCCCTTTTCACCAGAGCTCACAGCTGGTGTCCAGTCATGCTTTGGTGCTCAAAGGGGATCACATTTTTATAATGAGTTACATTTTTTAAATATCAACTCCTACCCCAGTATAATGCCACATAAAAATCCAGATTTCTACTTTCTCTAGAAAGATCTGTTGACATTCCCACTGGGCAGCCTCAGCTGGGCTGAGCTGCCTGCCTGCCTGGAGTCGGGTGCGTGTTTTGCTACAGGCACCACCACCCCCTTTTATACCTTCCCAGCTTCACTCCTTTGGGTCTTCTACATGGCTCTTTAGGCATTTGGGTTTGCCCTAGACCAGGAGTCAACAAACTTACTCTGTAAAGGGCCAGGTGGTAAATATTTTAGGTTTTGAGGGTCAGATGGGTTCTGTCACAACTATTCCAGTCTGCAGTTGTAGGGCAAAAGCAAATGCATGAATGAATGGGCATGGCTGTGTCCCAGTAAAACTTCATTTACAAAAACAGGCAGTGGCCAGATTTGGCCCACAAACTGTAGTTTGCTGACCTCTGCATCCTAGATCATCATTTGTCCATGAGGCCTTGGACCAAATGCTCTGTTGACTCCCCAGGACATGGCAGGGTCTTAGGGAGCCCTGATGCAGTGGTGTGGATTTCAGAAGCCTTGTTCCCTAGCAGTGGACTTCACAGAGGCTCAGGCTTAGTGTGGCCGCAGCACTGGGTAAGGGGGCTGAGGCAGGAGATACCGGGCAGGACAGGAGCCACTTGAAGCCATTATCCCATTTTTAGGTAAAGCTGACTCCTAGGCTTACTTAGGAACCAAGCAGCTCCCAATCTCTTGGGTATTCGAGTCATCTGGGGCACTTGTTTAAAAACTTGTGGACCCCCAACTCTAGGCATTTCAGAAAGAGGTTCATAAATCTGCAACTGGGGATTGATCGGGTTTGTTCTAGCAGGAGGCCAGGGTGGTCTCAGCTCCAGAATTCCTCATCTTGGTGAAGTGGAGGCTGAACTGGGCAGATGGAGGCTGATGGCTATTTAGATGAGCCAATGATGTCCTTTTGCAGATAGGGAAACAGTGTAAAGATAGAGCTGGTTTGCCCATGATCACTCAGAGCTGATACCCCTTTTCACCTTGAGTTCCTGGCAGTAGGGCCTTGCAGGTGAGGAGACCCCCAAGCAGGGGTTGGGATGGGTGGTCCTGGGTATACTTTTCACATTTTGAGAGTTTCTTCTCCCCTTTGGTCACATGCATCCAGCTCTGGAAAGATGGCAACCAAGCTCAAGGTTGACCCTGAAGTCTTCTGTGTGTGGCAGAGTCAGGGTGGTGGGGGCTGGCCCTGGCCCTCATGTCCGGGGCTGTTGCCTGTGTTCTTCTGATAGGCCTGGGTCCCGTTGTGACTGACCCCAGAGTTCCTGGGGTAAGGAAGAAGCTGGAGGATGCAGCCTCGCCTATCTTGGGAGCCCAGGGAGGGTGATGTGGGAGCAGCAGGCTTGGGGGGCCAAATCTACATTGACCCACGTACCAGATGGAGTTCTTCATTTCAAGTGTAGGCTTTGAGGAGCCACAGGATGTGCAAAGAAGGTCGTACATGTCTGGTGGAGATTGTGGAGAGGGCATGCCTGAGTCCTGGGACCAGTGCTGGTTTCAGGTTACAGAGGGACTGAGTCCAGACCCCCTCACCCCCCACCACACAAGCCACAACTCCAGTGATATATCAGAGGCAAGTTCATGGTTGGAGCCCCAGCCGGGAAAGGAGAGAGTTCCAGAATGTTCTTAAGAGTCTAGCCATAGGCTCCAGCCACCAGGCACTGGAGAGACCAACTCCAAGTGCCCTGGGGAGCAGTCTGGGCCTGGGGACCTGGGCCCTGTCAGTCTTGCTGGGAGGGTTGTGTGCCCTGCCCAAAGGGTCAGAGCAGCAGGCACAGCCGGTGGTGTTTCTGCCGCTGCGTTTTCTTCAGAGCGCTGAGGGCAACCTTGGCAGCCTCTCGGAAGATGTCCTCTACATTCTCCCGAAACTTGGCAGAACATTCCAGGTAGAGGGCAGCTCGGATCTGTTCGCAGGCACTCTGACCCTGGGTGGGGGGAGGGGCTGGCATTAGATGAGGGGCCTGGAGTTTGGGGCGCTTCCTGACGCCCCCTGGCGGATTTAGGGGCTCAGGCTGAGCTGTGAGGCCTCTCTCCATATCCCAGGCCAGCCCCCACCTGTGTGGCCTGAGGCAGGAGGGCCTGTCTGCTGGGGCCCATGGGCTGCAGCTCCTGTGGGAAGCTCCCGCCCCAGCCTCCCCGCTAACCCCCAGCCTCAGCAGGGAGGCTGAATCCGGATATCTGGGCTGATTTGTTGTGGATGCCAGGGCCTCAAGGCAAAAGGGCTTCCTACAGGCCTCTCCCGTATCGTCTCAAAAGCACAATTTAAGCAACTGAGTTTGCTGTTAGAGTAAAATATACCTTTATTTCTAAAACTTACTAATGCTTATTCCTTTTGATTAAACTTTATTAGTTTTCCTTTGTGTTTCTTTTGTTCTCCCCTTGCCTCACCCAGAAAGCTACCAGATTTGGTGTTGCCCATGATTCGTTGGGTATGGAAAGCCTGCCTTCAAACAAGGCAGTCCCCTCGGGCAGGCAGGATGGGATGGTGGTTCAGGCCCAGACTCAAGCTGGAGGGCCTGGGACGGGACCCCCGCTTCAGGTTAGCTGTGTGAGCCTGGGCGAGTTAGTTAACTGTCCTGGGTCTCCGTTTCGTCCCTGTGAGATGGGGGCTGCTACCCATGCCAGCCTCAGGATTACAAGGATTAAATGAGGTTAACTAATGTAAAGTGCTCAGGTAAGCAGGCCATCAATATTAATGCTTTAAAATTAGTATTTTTAGAATCCTGCTTACTTCTGCTCCCCGAAAGGCCACTAAGGCACCCCAGTTGTAGAACCCAAAGACCTGGGAGATTTTTTGGCCATGGCTATACCCAGAAACCTGGGCTCCTGGTGGTGGGGTTGAGGGGAGAGAGGGGCCCCTGTCCGACCTGCAAGTAAGTGATGGGCTCCATCTGGGCTGCCCGGAGTTTTCGCAGCTGCTCCTTGTCCTTCCTCAAGTCTGTCTTACAACCAATGAGCACCATGGGGATCCCACGGCAGAAATGGGTGACCTCAGGGAACCACTGTAAAGAAAGACAGTGGCCATCAGGGCTAGGGCCAGATCTGTGGCCCTGTCCCCAGAGGCAGGCAGACTGGGGGGACAGGTCTCACCTTGATGAGGACGTTGTCGTAGCTGGTGGGGTTCATGACATCATAGCAGATGAGCACGAGGTGGGTGTTCTGGTAGGACAGGGGCCGCAGCCGGTCATAATCTTCCTGCCCTGAAACCAGAGAGCAGGTGGGGCTCACCACTTCCTTGTTCACCTGAGTCCCCTGCATGGGCCCAGATGGGCAAGGCATTGGTGACCCTGTGTCTCTAGACCTGTTTCCTCATCTGTAAAACAAGTGGCAGACCAGGCCCGGATGGCAGCAAAGAGTACAAGAGATAAAACCCATGCAGTGCTCAGAACTAGGCATTATTACAAGACAAGTGCTGGAAAAATGGATAGCGATTATGCCATGATAATTACCGCCACCCTCTGTCCTCGCCCTGGTGCTCAGGCTGAAAGTGAGAACTCTGAAGCCAGATCCCTCGTCTCTCCCAAAGATTCAGACCAGTCAGGCTGGGCAGGCCCAAGTCACGGCAGGTAATGCTGGAGAGTGCTGGCTGCAGGGAGGGGGACCCCACACAGCAGCTGTCAGCCCTGCTGTCCATCAGTCTCACCTGGAGGAAATGAACATGCCTGGTATTCAGCCCCTCCCCAGCACCAAGTGAACTAGAACCCAAGGCTGGGCTTGTGCAATGGAGGGTTTTCTTAAAATTTTTAGTAATTTTTTATATTGACAATTTCAAGCTTACAGAAAAATTTCAAAAAAAAGAACTCACATACTCTGATGAACTATTTACATTTTGTCCCACCTGCTTTATCTGTATGTAACATTTCTAAACTACATGAGGTAATTGCAGACACTTGGCTTCTTTAAACAGGGATAGTTCGGCATTGATTTCCTAAGAACAAGAACACTCTCACCCCAGTACGTTTGTCAAACTCAAGAAACCAAATCCACAGGCCATATGCAGATTTCACCAATAATGTCCTGCAGTAGTTTTTTTCCCTGTCCAGGAGCAGGCCGGGGGTTATATGCTGTGCTGTCATCATGTCCCGGTATTTCTGAAAAACTCCCACAGTTCTCCCACAGAGAACTAAGAGGCTTGCAGGCTCATTGGCAAATCCCCCAAAACCTCTGCAAAGGCCCAGTGACCTTTCTTTCATAAGCTCAGAATCCAAACAGGAGACCCAGGAACCTACCTCCTGCCCCACCCCTCCCTCTAGCATGACGGTGCCTGGGTGGCACCAGCCTGCTCTCCACTCTAGTCCCTCCTTGCCAAAGGCCTCTCAGGATAAGTTGGTCTCTCCGCTGAGCATGGACAAGCTACGTCTTGTTCTGAGCCCCTCACTGATGATGGGATGGCCACCCTCTCCCTTCCCACTGGAACCCCACTGGTATGCAGTGAATGGCATCCACAGTTATGACCATGGCTGGGCCAGAAGGATTGGCCATGCTGTCTTTCAGCCAAATTCCCCACAACACTGGAGAAGGGGTGAAAGGTAGTCAGGGTTCAGCACGCTAAGACCTTCCTGCTCTCATCTCCACAAAGCTGAAGAAATGATGTAAGACAGTGGGAAGGTAACCAGCCTGGCATGCTATTCTAGCCCATCTCCCCTTTTTCCAAGCATTTCCCCAAACTGTCCCCACTCCAGACCCCTGTCCATGCCTTTCTAGACCGGTGCTGTCCGATAGGGTAGCCATTAGCCCAGTGTGGTTATTTAAACTAATTAACATCAAAAATTCAGGTTCTCCATTGCAATAGCTGCATTCCAAGTGATTGAATGCCACGCCAGGGTAGTGGCTTCTCTAATGGGCAGCACAGATGCAGAACAGTTCCATCATTGCAGTAAGTCCTATTGAACAGCATCCTTATCCAAGCCACCATCAGTCTCTCCTGTCACCTCTGCCCTGGTCTGCTGCTGCCCCTCACTGAATCCATTCTCTACCTGGCAGATGGATCTTAAAACACAAGTAAAATCCTGCCTCTCTCCCCTCAACTGAAACACCTTCAATGGCTCCTTCTTACCCTCCGTATAAAATCTAAACATCTCCCAGTTGTCCATATGAGCTGGCCCCTAAGGGCCCTGACCTCATCTCCCTCCCTCCACACCCCCTCACTCACTGGTCCAGCCAGGGTGGCCTCCTTGCTGTTTCTCACACCCACCAAGAACTTAGGCTTCAGAGCCTTTGTATTTGCTGTTGCCCATACCTGGAATGCCTTTCCCTTATCTTTTCCCCATTTTCTTCCTAGCATTTTTATTTTGAACATTCAGACTGACTATGCATATGATTGCCTTTTTCAGGATAATTGCCTTCTCTCTACTACTTAATACCCTCTTATATGTTTTACACTTTTTATAGTGCTTTTGCCTATGAATGATTAAAAAATCTTTATACCCATCACCTGATGTGCTAGTCAGGAAACTTATGAAGAATACTCCCATTTATATGAGTTTCAGGGAAATGAAGTGACTGGCCTGTAGTCACTGAATCAGGGACTGAGCCAGGACTCAACCCAGTTAACCCAATTCCAAGCTGAGTGTTCCTTCTGCTGAGCCTCCACAATGCTGTGTTCTGCTTTGTATTGTGCAAAAATAGGTCTGGGCCTCTACAATGCAATGATGTGGCTCATAATTCCAGCATAACATATATCCTCATTCCCTTTAAGAAATATGGCAGGAGTGGACAAGTAGAGGTACAGGGCCCATAGTGTCCCAACACCGCCTCTAGCCCAGTGATTTCTGAGAGGCTGTCCCTCATCAAGAGAAGCCCGCCCTGCTTGTCTGCTGTCTGGACTCAGGATTCTTTGGTTCTTGCCTGTCTCCCATGGACTGTTAGCACCCCAAGGAGAGGAATCACGTCTGTCCTTAAAAATAATTCCTTGCTCCTGGTAGGTGTCTAGTCACTACTGGCTGGGTGTTATCTTGAAGTTGTTCAGATGCAGCAGGGACGAGGCCTGAGATGTGCCACTGGGTTTAGCAATTCCGGCTTGGGATGATTTCAGCGGAAGTCAGGCTGCAGCAGGTTGAAAGAGGAAGTCAGACCTCTCTTGCTCCCCCTTGGGGCCTCCATCTTTGCTGTTGCCTCTTCTAGAAGGCTCTTCTCAGACACCGACATGGCTCACTCCCTCCTTTCCTCAGGTGTCTGCAGAAATGTCACCTCCTCCGAGAGAACTTTCCTGACTGCTCTGAAACAGCAGCCTCCTTTGCAGTCTGTTTCATGACCAACTGTGGCTGTGCTTTTCTTCTAGGATTTTTCTGGGTAATTTGGTCTCCCACATGAGGACGTATGACCCTGCTGGGTAAGTGCTTGATGAATGTAAGTATAATGACAATCTCCATGGCCTCCAGCATTCTCAAGGGCATTTCATTTCCATCACCTGGGTTAATTTAAGCAGGCACCCTGGGAGGTTGGGCTGGGCAGGGAAAGTTCTTCCTTTTAGGTGCCCACGTGGCTGAGGAGGGCCCTTTTCAAGGTCATAGACAGGCTTCCTGTGAACTAGAGCATCAACTCAGTCCCACCTTCAAGGTCAGCTGCCTGCCAAGCCACTCTATAAGTGCCAATCCTCCCAGGAAGCCTTCCCCAGCCTTCCCAATTGGGAATTAATCTCTGGACCTCAGTTTCCTCATCTGTGAAATGGATGTGTGAGAAGCAAGTGAGCCTTGATGACAATAATAATAAAAATGGTTAGTATTAACAGTATCTATCAACAGTGCTCACCCATTATATGCCAGGTCCCATTCAAAGTCCTTTACCTCACTGACTCATTGTTACTCATCTTTTCCCCAGCCTATAAGGTAGGGCCATTGTTATCCCCATTTTACAGATGCAGAAATTGAAGCACAGAGGGGAAGTGACTTGCCCAAGGTCACAAAGCTAAGGGGAAGCTCTCTGTAAATGTCAGAGTAACAGAGGCAGGGCTATTGGGATGCCTCTCTCAGGCCACCCCAGAGGGTAGGGAGTGGTCCTTGCCCTGTAAGCCCCCGCTCTGACTAGGAGAGGACAAGGCTGCCAACACAGGCAGGCAGACACAGAGACTGACTCTAGGAGGAGATAAGCAGCCAATCTCCTCCTCCAGGTTGCCTTCTTGATTGTGCCTGTGTCAACTTTCCCCAGGATTCAGTGCAGGCTTCCATGTGGGGACCAGGCCTGCAGGTAATGGACTTCTTGCAGTCTCCTTGGGAGGGTGCAGTGTCCTAGACACCTCTCCCCTGTGAGTCAGGAGAGCCAGGCTCCCCTCAGACTCATGCTCCATGACCTTGGCACCTTCCCTCTCTGGGCCTCAGTTTCCTTATCTGGAAAAGGGGGTGATAACCCTGCCCCTGATACTGAAGGTAAAGGACTTGTCGGCTGAGCAATGCTGGACAAAGGTGAGGAACTGCTACTATGGTTACCATTGAAATAGAAACTTGCAAGGGCCTGGGGCCAGGGTGGGGGTTTCTAACCCCTGATCTTTGGACCAACAAGTTTTAGGGGGCCTCCTAGCCACAAGGTGATGCTGTTACCCTCCATTTATCCACATTTACTATTTACTAACATTTACCTACTGCGAAGGCTTAAAGGGGCCAAGTCAGGTGACTTCCTGGAGGCTCTCAGGGGTCCTACTCTAGCCTCTGCAAATGGGCTTGAGAGGTAAAAAAGCCCCAGAGTCATGTGTGAAAGGATGCATTTGTTTCTGGCCAGGAAAGGACATCTGGGCCATGGCTCCCCTTGAAGCCACCCATCTTCCTGAAGTTGACGGTGTTTTGCGGCTAGGAGGAAGTGAGGCTCTTGCTTCGCCTGAGAGTATTTACTTTGTGGGAAGAAGCTTTGCTACAGCAGGCAGTCTGGGGTGGCGGTCATCTTTCCTGGGGTCACTAAGGCCCAGAGCTGGGTTGAGGACAGAGAGTGTCATCAGGCTACAGTGGTCTCCAAATCTGCTGGAGGACACACACAGGGCAGGTGGTTCCCAGCTCCGGCAAGGGTGTTGCTCAGGGGAGGGGTGCAGGCAGCATGAGAAGAGGAAGCTGCCAGAAGCAGAACCCATTTTTAGTGGTGCTATTGGGGTCTGCCCACCTGCGTACCCTCCCGAGACAGGGGTTTGAGACAGCTCAGCCGGAGCTGAGCCCATGATCTGACTGACCCACAGCCTCCAGGGCTCCTGGCCACCCATCTCTTCCCTGATCCTTGTCTTAGCAACTCCTTTGCTTCATTTCCTACTGCTCACTTCTTAGGCTGGGGCAGGGACCACAGCCACCCTCCTCTCTGGCACCCCCCACCCTCCACTCCCTCCTGTGACACCCAACCCTGCACCCCACCCCAGGCCCAGATAGCTCTGTCTCTAGTTGGTGTCTTAACATCCCACCTCAGCTGCCTCCCCTCTGCCCAGGAAACGTCAGCCCTCACCACAGCTTCCTGCCTGAGCTGCCAGGGCTGGGAGGCTGCTAGGGCAATGGGTGCTCATGGCCCCCGCCCCCCATCACCTTTGAGCACCAAAGCCCTTCACCGCTCCCTTCACCCTCCCATCCCTGCAGTGTCTGCAGCTGCTTCCACAGGATGGAGATAAGCAGCCTGACTGACCTCCCACACGGACTCCTGTGGCCAAGGTCCCAGAGAGTCAGCCTCCAGGGTCCACCCTTGTCTCACTGCTCTGGTCACCAGTGGTTGGTTGGAAAGATGCTACCTTCTACCCCTTTCCCCCAGGGTCTAGGCCATCAGGTTCTAGAACTTTCTACAACAACCTTTACCAGACTCATCTCCAGCTGGGCAGCTCCCCTCATCCTCTTAGTCTGTCTTTTTTTAGTTGGTCACCCGGCTGTTTTTTCCACCACTTTCTGCTGATATCTGAACACCCGTAGGTGGTGGGGACGAATCTCATCACCTTTTTCACCCTGGCCCTCTTCCAGGGGCATCTCTGTATCCAGATTTATTTTTCATTCATTCCACAAGCCTCTCTCTAGGCCAAGCACTGTGCTGGGCACTGGTGTATGGAAGAGGAACAACCTAGTCTGTCACACTCCTCCTGACAGTGGGGCACCCTTGAGGGAGCAGCCATGTTTCTTCCTCACTGAGTGTCCCCCCTTGGGCCATCCTGCTGACTGTGGGGCCATTCTACTCCCACTGGGGCACCCCTGGGAGGTTCAAACCCCAGCTCTGCTGTTCTGCAGCTAGGAGAGTCCTCTTGCCCTTGTAGGTAGGGGCCTGCACCACGCCCTAGCAGGCCACGTGTTCAGAAGAACAGTCTTGTGCTTGAATGACTGGAGATTAAAAAAATCATAACGACAACACTTAGCAAGCCCTTTCCTGTGCTGAGTGCTGGGATCTGACTTAATCCTCACAACTGTTTTAGACCTGATTACAAATGAGGAAACTGAGGCCTGGGTGTCCCTGAGGACACAGCCAGGGAAGCTGGCATCAAAGTAGGGGGTAGGAAATGGTGGGTGGGATCATCACTGCCCCAATGATTGCATGCTCCTGGTGATGCTGGCATGGCACCCCTCCATCCCTCCCATGGCAGCTCACTGTAAACCCTTCCTTTCACTGAGTAGAAGCTTTCCAGAGTCTCCGCAAGACAATCTGCTCTGATGCTGATTGTCTTTGACACGGATGTTCTTTGAGCAGCTTTCTCTGGGTGAGGCCAGACAGTGGTCCCTATGCCGGGTCTGAGTGGGGAGGCTGTCCTGGACAGTGAACCTGAGATCTACAGGAGAGGCTCTGAGGACAAAGGAAGGAGGAGAGAGCAAAACAGCCTCCTGACTGTTCCTGCCCTACCAGCACTCTGCCCACAATGTGGTTCAGAACCTGCCCTTCCCTGGGTCCTGGGTAGCACACAACACAGTTTTACTGCTCTTGGGGCCATACCCTTGGGAATCTCTTAGAAGTCCATGGCTTTCCCAGTTCATGGGGCTGGAGGCATGGCCTTGTTCTTGGGGTGGCCCTGGGGGGCCCTAATCCAACAAGAGGGTCCTCAGAGGCCACTGTGGCAGGTATCAGCAAAGCCTGCCTAAGTCAAGAAGGCAGGAGGGGGTGCTGGGCAGCCCATTTTCTGATTCTCTCTGGGGTGGAATGAGAGATGCTCCTGGCAGCCTTAGAGAGAGAGAGAGAGAGAGAGAGAGAGAGAGAGAGAGAGAGAGAGAGTGTGTGTGTGTGTGATACACACAAGGCTTGGCTGCAGGGAAAGGGGCTCCTGATGACATGGTTCCACGCAGGTCACTGAACACTGAGTCATGGAGGATGGGTGAGGCTCCAGCTAGGGATCCTAACCTTTGCTCCCCAATGTTGATTCAGCTGGGTGGGGGGGGCAGAGCAGGATGGAAGCTCCTGCAGGCAGGCCCCCCTCCAACGAGAGTTACAATCCTTCCACTGACTATACTCCTTCCCATCTATCCCCCAACAGCAGGGACTCTGCTGACTCTGATGCATTAGCATAAATCCACTTGCATTAGATGCTACAGGTGGCAGAGAGAACCTTATTTTGGACCTACATTCCCTAGACCTTTTTTCCTTCTTTAGCGCCTGGTTTCTTCCCAGGGAACCAGGAAGACAAGGAATTGTAGCCACAGAATCCCGAAACATGGGCTCAAAACTGTAGACCACTGAATTCCAGACCCATGCACTGTAGCTGGTGGAATCCCAGAAGGGTGGACTCAGAACTTCCATCCACAGGACCCTGGAGCCTCAGGATTGTCCCCCATGGAATCCTGGGGTCACAGGCTCTATCTATAGTACATTCTAGAACCGAAGGACTCAGAAACACAGCCCATGGAATCCTAGCATCAGGGGATTCAAATCTGCAGCCTACAGAATCTTGACACCACAGCGTGTAAGACACGAAAGCCTGGGACTATGGGAAACAGAAGCACAGCCCACGTCTTTCTAGAACCGCAGGAGAGGAACGAAGCTGTGTGTTCTTAGCATGTCAGGTCTCAGAGGGTGTCCAGGAGCTCAGCTCACCCAAATACCCTCGTTTACATTGGGCAAATGAGACACTCTAAGCTCCCAGGGTCACCCAGCCAGCGCCCCTCCGAGGCCCCCAGGAATAAGATGGCAGGACCCCGCAGAGGTTGCCGTGCGGGGGTGGGGATGCCAGGCGGGGGAATCCTTCAGGCGGACCCCAGGAACTCTCGGCGCGCAGGCGCACTCACCGGCGGTGTCATACAGGTTCAGGGTCACCTCCTTGCTGCCCACGGTCACGCTGGCCGAGTACTTCTCGAACACGGATGGAGCGTAGTGCTGTCGAAGAAGGGGTCGGGTTGGTTCTTAAGGGCTGCGGCGGGGGCCCGGGACCCACCTGAATTCTCCTTCCACTTTGATCCCATCAGGTTCAGCCCCCACATTCCGCTGGGCTCGGGAATTCCCCCGGGGGCTCCCTGGGGTGACGGCTGCCTCTGGGCGCAGGATGCCGGGGAGCCGAAGTCCAGGCTGCGGTCGCAGGTGTAGGGCCGTCCCTAGCCCCCAGTGGTCCCAAGTCCGTCCCCCACCCCAGCCTGACTCCCTTCATACCCCCAGCGGGCCTCACCTCGGGGAATGATCCCTGGCTGTACACCATGAGCAGTGAAGTCTTGCCGCAGCCGCCGTCGCCCACGACCACGATCTTAAGTTCCTTCCTACCCGGGCCCGGGCCAGGGGCCCCAAGGGTGTTCATGGCCCGGAGCCCGCAGCACTGACTACGGCGCGCCGGGCAGAGCGCTGGGGCTGAGAGCTCCGGGGCGGGGAAGGGGGCGGACTCGGGGGGGTGGAGCTAGGAGAGGTCCAGTCCCTTCCAGCAGCCGCCGCCACCGCCTCCGCCAGGCAGCCACCCGGCCCACCTCCCACCCTCAGTTTCCTTCCTGATAGGGTCTTGGCTCAGGGCGTTACCTCTCATTCTCAGGGAAACTGAGGCAACCGAGAAACACAGTGCTCAGCCGCAAGCACATATCTCACCCTTCCCTGGAGCGTTAGAGCGCGCCCCCGACCCCCAAGATCAGATAATTTCCGTGGCTCCTTGCCTGGTACCCCGATTGGCAGGCTCCGCCTTCTGGCAGGGACCCTCTGATTGGCCGGCTCGGCCTCCCCCATCGGACAGGGACACTTTGATTGGCAGGCTGTACCAGCACCAGGGTTCCAGGAGCCTTGCTCCCAAGCTCTGGGGAAAGCCTGCAGCTTTGCTCTGCCCCAGCTGTCTGGGCAAGTCCATCTCTGACCTGGTTTACTACAACAGGTAGGTTGGTGGTGCCAACGAGGATGCTGGAACGAGAGTCGTGTCTGCCCTCCTGGTCTGTCCCTCCGAGCGCCCATGCAGGTGCAGGTTGCGGGTGGAAAACAGCGGTTCCGCCCACCTACCCCTCCTTCTCCCTAGGGGCGCAAGGTGGCTGTCTGGCGCCCTCTGCCGGACGACTACCTAAGCGCAAGCGGCTTGGGGAGCAGGTGGGCGGTCCCGAATACCCTTTCCGGGGGTGTTTCCCCAAACCACTTGGGCGGGAGTCTCTTTATAGCGGGAGCCGGAGGCTTGAGCCCAAGATACCGTCGGGGAACCGACTGGGTAGGCTTGAGTAGATCTAAGGGGATCAGCTGGGCCCCTCCCTCCATTTTGGACACTGATAACCCTTACCCGCAAGCCGAAATTTGTGTTCTCTGGCCAGCAGCCACATATCCTTCATCCCACGGATTTTCATCAGTTCCCCCAGTCCCTGGTCACAACGGCTACTTGAGCACTCACTATGAACAAGTACTGTGTGGCAGCTGGCCGAGACCAACCCTGCCCTCCATCCCTTCTTTTCTTGCGACCCTGGGCTTCTTTGCAGGACCCAGGTTAATGGTCAGGAGTGGCAGGGGACCCCTGGAGACGGTGTGCAGCAGCCATGCAGTGGGGCATGGCCAAGTGAGAAAGTCAGGTAGTTTAAGCGGGGGTAGAACTTCTGGTAGTTCCCTCAGAGAGGGAATGGTGTGACTCAGAATTTTTTTTGATCCCACCGTACTCCGAAGTTTCCCAATTTTCAAGTTCCCAGGAAAGATCAGTAAATTTACTTCAGGGAGGAAATTGCCAACGGGGCAGTACCATAAATGTGGGGTCGTTTTGCAGCGAATGTAAGGCAGGGCCTAACCACCAGAGGGCAGCAGGGTTCGCCAATTGAAGCCCAACCTTGTTGCCCGGCAGAACCCAAACACCCCTGGAAAAATTTACAGCCATTCCTTTTTTTGCAACACAAATTTATTGAGAGGCAATTGTGTTCCTGCCTATAAGAAGCTGAGTCTTGGAGAAAGTCCAGAGTTTGAAGATGTGAACAGTTTAGATCTGTGGGGTTCGGGCAAGGTTGAGCTCTGTGGCATGTACCAACTGGCAGTGTTGGGAGGGTGGGCCAGTGGAAGGAGGATGGGTACCCAGCCTGGACAGAGGTTCTGAAGTGGCTAGAGAATGAGTGAGGCTTCACGCGGTTGTCAAGGTACCCGGAGTTAGATCAGGGACAGCCTGGCTGCCAGGCTCAAGTGGGGTGTTGGCATTAGGGAGCCAGCCAAAACTAGGCCCTCAAGGTCTCTCCTGTAACTAGGGAGGAGCTGTGACTGGCTGGTGCAACCTGGGGAAAGAGGGCACTTGGTCTAGCGACATGTCAGTAGTAAGGCTCCCCAGGACTACAGCAGGGGAGAGAAGCCAAGCCAGGATGGAGGGACTATTCCCAAGGAGAGAGGGCAGAAGGGGACTTTTGAGTGAGGCAGGGGGCCACTTACCTTTGCAGCCAGCCCCAGGCCTGACCTCAAATAGGGACCCTGAAGCTCAGAGAGGGAAGCTACCTCATCTGGGAGGGACCTGGGGAGAATTCCTTCCTGTAGGAGGGCCACCCCATTCTGAGCAAACTGTGTCACCTGAATCCAACTTAGCTGCACGAGCCCACAGGAGGGCTCCTGATTTTCCTCAAAATCTTCAGACCTCAGTTTCCACTTACTCCATCTGAGAAATGGGGTTGCAATTTTGACTTAAGACAGAACAAAGGACTTACATAAAACTGAGGGAGAGGAAAAGGAAAAGTGAGTCTTCTCAGCATTCCGAGGTCCAGGAAGACCAGCTGACACTGGCCTCAGCCCATCCACCCACCCCTGCCTGGCCAAGAGGCTGGCAGAACCCTAGCCCCACTGAGCCTAGAATGTGTTTGATTTGGACCCAATTCCAGTGGTGGTGTTGGATCCAGGATGGATCTATACATAAAAATACCTAGGAGCCAGGCCAGCTGCTCTGAGCCTCCTCAGAAGCAGCTGGGCCAGGGCAGGCCAGCTGAGGAGCTGGGCATGCCAACACACCCAGGGATACCTGCTCCCTTACCTGGGAGATGTTCTGAGGACCCATGTAATTTGCTTCCTATTCACTGGGAATTCCTAGAGAGATTTAGGAGGGCAAATTGGTTCTTGCCAAAGAGCTGTTGAACACAGAAGCTTAGGGGAGCTGACCAGGTGGCATTTGTGAGGTGAGTGCATTTGGCCTGTGCCACAGTGATGCCAACTGAGCACAGGAGATAAGTAGGGGGGCCAGATTCACTTCTGTTTTGTTAAGCAAAGTCTGGCCAGCACAGGTCACTGTGGGAAGTTAGTAACAATTCTAATGGCTTCTACTTTCCCAGTGCTTCAGAATACTTTGAGAGGTAACTACGCACCTGAAATATCATCCACTCCAGGTGAAACAGAGCCTTCCTGTTCTGTGAGGTCCTAGAGATGAGAGATGGTCAAGAGTAGCCTCAGAAGTCAAGGACTTTCCCCAAGTCACCCCTCAGCACTTTGGGGGTGGGGGTCCACTGATCAAGTACAAAAATGCTCCCCTCACAAGGCCAGACTTAGAAAACAGCTCAAATGATCATCAACCAACTTCTTCCTCTTGGTTCACATGGGGAGGTCTGGCCTCCCAGAGGGGTGGGAACTTGCTGACATCCACAGCCAGCATTGGACACAGACAGTGGCCAAGACAGAAGGGTGCTTCTCTCCACAGCAGAGACTGGGTCAACACCCAGAGGGGCCAAAAGTCATGTTCCACGATGGGCCGGAAGAGGCGGGACCCTGGCGTCCAGTAGTAAAGCAGGTCCAGCCACCTCCTAGCGCCCAGGGCCTCCCTTCCGCTGGCGTGGCCCTCTCCAGGCAGCCCTCACAGCAGCGCCAGGAGCGGCCCCGCCCCCAGATCCCTGCACGACCAGGGGCGGGGCGGGGCGGGGCGGGGCCACCCTCTGGGCGGGGGTATCAGCAGCTCAGGAGAGGGCTGGCTTGCCGCTCCCTGCCCCAGGGGGTTGGGGTTGGTGACAAAGAGGTAGGAAAAGGGAGAAAGAGAAATGGTAGCGGGGAGGAGACACTTCTCCCTTCTAAGAATCACACCCAGACCACAGTTTAGCACCTTATTGCTCCCTAATTGGTCTGAGGGCTGAGTGGAGAAACTGGCTGTAACCCTCCAGGATGCAGGGAGGGGAAGATATAAATTATTTCACTATCCAATGCCCAAAGGAGATAAAGACCCCTAGCCCAGAGACCCCCCCAGGACTCTATCCAAGGGAATTCAGGACCTGGGGAGAACTGCCTCCCCAGAACCCTCAGGGGCAGAACTGTCAGGTGAGGACACCAGTGGCTGAGTGTAATTTAAACCTCAGGTGGTTTGGGGGCAGTGTGGAAGGAGGTAAGAGGCTCACAGGATACTAATGTGGGCCTCAGCAAATTTTACACAGTGCTTTTCCCCATCCCTTCCCCCACCCCAGGTTGGGGGAAGTGTGGTGCCCCGTGCAGTGGGGTGCATCCCCTTCTCCCCGGAGAACGACAAAATGGACCAACCCCAGCTTATCTGGGACTTGGAAGAGCCTCAGAAGGCCCAGGTATGGTGGCCAACAGCACCATGCCAGCTACTTTCAACCAGCTTCCACAGCTGCCAGGCAGTGATGCCAGCAGACAGCTGGCATGGGAGGGAGCCCAAAATAACCCAGACAGCTGGGGTGAGGGGGGTGCCATGGACAGTGCCGCTGGGATGGAAGTCAAGACACCTGGAACCCTGTCCTGGCCACTGGTGGCTGCCTCATGACCTTGGGTGTGTCACTTCTACTCTGGGCTGCCGTGTGTGTGTCCTCCCCTCCCCCCAGATCATGACCTGATCCTGGGAACAGTCCGTGGAGCTGGGGGCAGGCCACCATCTGACTCAAACTGCACAGGAGGAAAAACTGGTGCTGGCTTGCAGCCTACAGAAAACCAGTCTTCCCTTTTGCCCTGAAGCTTTGCCACGTGCTTGGGGGGTGGGTGGGGGTGGACTGGAGGGAGGAGCTCCAAGATAGCCCTGCCCCCACTCCCGGCAGCCACGTGGAAATGAAGGCCAAATAGAGAGAAGCCTGAACAGGAGGCAGCCCTTTAATCACACTTAATCCTGCCACCACCCTGCCACCATTACACAGGAAACTAGCCTAAGGTCGCCAGCACAGCTAAGACTCAAACCCACAGCAGCCTTAGAGCGTCCCTTGATTAAGCACTAAGATGCCTCAACAAAATCTCTAGGTAAGCCCTATGGGGCCCCCAAACCTCAGTCTAGCCCTCAGTGGGGTAAAAGTGGGCATGGCAGATCCAACACAGAAGCCAGACCTTGGCCCCAACGGGGGAGGCTGCCTCGATCTGTGGCACCTAGACCCAAATGGTTCATCAAAGTAATCACAAACTAGCTATCACATGGGGGAGGGGTCAGAGATCAAGGGTCACAACCATCTCCACCCGTGGAGCTTCCTGGAGACAGAGAGGATGGGAAACTGTGCGCAGTCAACTTGTGTTAGGGGAGTAAGAGATTTGTCATCACGACGGGGCAGAAGTGTGTGCCAAGCACTGACCTCCAGGATTCAAGCCCATGAGCTTGGTCTTCCTAACTACACCCTAGGTGTTACCCAGCCCAAAGATTCTCAAAATGTGTCCCCAGATGACAGCATCAGCTTCACCTGTGAACTTGTTGGAAATTTCAAGTTCTCAGACCCCTACATACTCAATAAGAAACAAGGACAAGGACCAGACCCAACCCCAACCCCCGTGATATGGGTGTAGACTCAGGGCTGAGAATCACTGACCTAGACTCATCGTACAGATGGGGAAACGAGTTCAGAGACCGTGCAGCTTATGCAAGTTTATAGCAGGTAAATGGGTAGCCAGGTTTTAAATTCTGACTAGAAACAGGGTTCTTTGGGGGAGGTGAGAAAACTGCAGGAATTCCCTGGAAGTGGGAGAAGAATCAAGAAACCTCTTTCTCAGGAAGCTGGCCCAGCTTCTGTTCTTCACCTCCCTAGCAGCCAGACACCAGAGGGGAAGAGGCCGCTCACGCAGTCACCCCACATGCCCCCGCTGGGGGCCGGAAGGGAGGGCCAGAGCAGGGCGGGGCTTCCTAGCAGCTGACTGTGCCTTTCTGAAGAGGCATCCAGTGCCCTCCCCCCACCACAAAGCACACAACTGGGAAATACTTGCAAGTGCAGCCTCTTCTATGCTGCTAAATACGGCAGAGAACTGCACGCCCCAAACTCTGTTGACAACAGAAGCTGACAGGCAGGGACGGATGGACCAAGCAGGCCCAGCAGGCGGCCGATTTCACACACACAACCCCACACATCTGCGTGGGGGAGGGGCTGCAGAACCAGCCTAGCGGGTTTGGGGTGCCCGCCCTCCCTGGGCTCCAGGCCAAAGCCCCCCAAATCTCCCTCGCAGCCTGGTAAAGGGCCCACACCTACCTTAGTGGGCGGATTGTCAGAGTCAAGCTAGACCTGCTCCTGCTGTCCAAGGGAGGACGGTCCACTCTGGGGGTACCGGGCCGTTGCCCCTTCTCCGGCCAAGAGCCTGTGGTTGGGGGGGCGAGTCGGAGGGGTTGTTAGGGGGGTTGGCTACAAACTGGACAGGCTCTCCTTGAGGGTAGGGGAAACCTTACAAATGTCGCCCCCGCTTCTCACCTGCCAAGGTGGCCCTCATTCTGGAACGGGTAGGAGGGGGTGGCTGAGTCACTAAGGTTCAGCCCAGGCGAAAAGCGGCAGGAGGCGACTCATCTGCATTTCCAAAGGCTCGCCCCGACCGCATCCCCTCCCCAAGGAAGGGACGGAGAGCTGAGGGCTTAGCCCAGAGCCCTCTGCGTCTGGGGATCCCGGGAAAGGCCTACGCAGCCTTCCCAGGCGGCCCCAACACCTCGACCTCCCGCCCCCGCCCGCCGCAGCCTCTGGAGCGCCGGGTTGGATGGTGTGACCCGGACGGCCAAACTGGGAGTCGGTGGCCTCCGTGAAGGCCTCACACCTAAAGTGGAAACAAAGGGCCCCTCCGCCCCTTGCGCTCGTCTCTCAAAGAGCGCTTGGGAGCCAAATATGGGCGCCGAGGCCCAGGGTCAGTCCGGGCAGCCGAGGAGGCTTCCGCGGGCTCCGGAGGAGTCGGGGCCCTGATCGGCCCCGTGGCCCTTGGCCACAGGCTCCCGAGCGGGAGGGAGACGGAAAAGCACCCGCGTCCCAGCAAACGGGCGAGGCCGCCTCGTGCCTGCGGGGGCCCCCCGAGTCGGGCGCGGAGTCCGAGGCGGCTTCGGAACCCGAGCTCACCGTCGAGGCCTCCCCAGCCAGGGGCGTCCACGCGGGTGGAAGCCTGACCGCGGGCGGCGACACGCCGGCCTCCCCTCCCCCCGGCCGCCACCGCCTCCCTCCTCCCTCCTCCCGCCCGGCGAGCGGCAGCCGCCACCGCCCGAGCCGCGGGCGGCGCGCGAAATGGCGCCCGTCTGGCCGCCTGGCCCGGTGGAGGCAAAGGCGCGGGAGACAGCGCGCGAAGCTCCCGGGCCCGCGGCCCCAGAAACTGCCTCCGCGACCACCCCTCATCGCGGGGCGCTGCGCCGTGCTGGCTCTCGGGGCGCAGCCCGGCCGAGCCACCGCCTGCTCCGGGCTCCCAACGACAACCGGGGAAGGAGGGCGGGAGGAGGAGGAGAGCGGCCGCCATTAGCCGCCGCAGTCCGGCCCGCCCGAGAACCGGACCCCGCCTCGCCTTCGCCCCGACCCCCGGCCCGGACGGCGGCTCTGCTCTGAACCTGAAAATAAAACTCGTGTTTTTGCGAGGGAGGAGCGAGCGCGGCTGGGAGAACAGGCAGCGCTGGGGCTGCAGGCGGGAGAGATGCTGCGTCATGATGGCAACATGGACGCCGGCCTTTGTCCTTTTTTGCTCAGGAAGCGCAGGCGCGCCCGGGAGCCCCAAAAAGCCGGCTTCGGAGTGCAAGCCCCCACAGTAAAAAGGGAAAGAAACCCGAGGCCAGGCGGTAGGGTTTCCTCTTCTTCTGAGCCCCACATCTCCAGAACAGTTTACTTTCTTCTTCCCCCCACCAAAGCACAAACCTAGAAAAGAAAGGGGGACGCGCGCAGGCGGCCCCAGGGATGCCCCAGGTCGCTGGGGAGACCTCGCCTCAGGGGAAGAAGGGGCAAAAGGGTCTGAAGAGCCCTCCGTGCTCCCCCAGCCCTCCCCGAAACAGCTGCCAAACAAAACTCCAGAAACCTCCCCTCAGCTCCCAAACATTTGCAGCTCTTGGCCTGCTCGAAAAAATATTTCCTCGAAGGGGCAAAATACACTTTTTTTTTTTTACTTACCCCGCTCAGCGCGGTGCCATGGAGTCTGGAAGATCAAGCTGGGTGGAGATTTTGGAGGTGTTATTGTTAAAAACATCTTTTTGGGGGGTTGTTTAGTTGGGAACATTTTGGGCCAATGGTGGTGTCTTTTTTTGGTGGTGTTACCTTTTTGTAAGTTACACTCTTAAGGCATTTTCTGCTCCTTCCACTTCTGCAAACTTTCCAGGGTTGGGTTGGCAAGAGGCGAAGCTTCGCTGAGTACTGTTTACTGCTCTGGATATAGTAATGGTGTGATCGTAATTAAGAGACAAAAGGCGAAAATACAGTCAAATCAAACAAAAGGCAAAACACGCACGGCCATCCCAACCACCATAGAAAATACCCACGAGTTAACGTTAGTGTTTGGCTCGAACCAGCTAGGACTTGTTTTCCAGTTTTAATCTAGTTTCCTGTGACGGCTTTTGTCTTTACACAAAGAGGTCTTCCTTTCCCTCACCCACCCTTCTATAAGACGAGAAAAACAGAGCTGTTCTTTAAGTAGATCGATTTTCAAAGAAAGTGTGCATGTTACGGGGAAGAAAGCTAACATTTATTGCTGTAAACATTTTCAAAAGCTTAAACCTAAAACCATAGCTTTATAAAAGCAAAATCGTCTAAAAGCATCTTAACTGGCTTAGACAAGAGCGACAGACATACATGCAGATGAAGGCTCAGAAAATTAAGGACATCTCAGCAACATCAACATGAAAACTGCACTGCGTTAAGGACAGAATGGATTGGGTACTTACAACGTTTTTAAAAACTTAAAAGCGTCAACAAATGCTTAACATTTTTTGTTACTGCCATTTCGCTAGTCTTAAAACTATACATTTAAAACGTTACCTTGTTACAAAGAGAGGAGTTAATAAAATGGTCAGATTTAAGTGTTTAATAGAGGAAACTATAAAATTTATTGTTCAGTCAAGAGAATACAGATTAAGACAGCTCCAAGCTCCCCCCACCATCAACCCAAGAAAAAAAGAGGAAAAAAAATTAAATATGTCATTTACTTAGGTTTTTTGGAATTCAAAATTGTTAACTGCTGACATTAATGGTGTGCTATGACCTAGTTATACAAGACAAAGATGGATTCCAAGTCATAAGGAAATATCCAGATCTTTTTAAAAAGTCTTCTTCATTCTTCCAATTGTGAGTCCTTTAGCCTGTTGGCAAATGTTAAACACAACACTGAGGCGTCCTGAACTGGATGGTGGAGTCAAAGGAAAAACATTCCCCATTTGCAACAAAGAAGAACCCACTTGGCCATTTAATTCCATTGCAGAAAAATGGCTCCCCTCATCTGTTGGCCTCTCCTTGGTGTCTGATGAAGGATGTTTTGAGATCAGCGTCTAATAACTCAAGGCCTATAGAAGCCGTGCGCTGATTGGCTGCCGCGCCCTGCCGCCCCGCTCCAGCCAATTACCTACCCACGGCCAAATTACAAACCCCGAAAAGAGCCCCAATATGAAATACACCACCACGAAGCCCCAGCGAGGCGGTTTTCTCTCCTCGGGCGCCCGACTGGACAGGTAGAGGGGCTGCAAATGCATCCTCGCAAAGCCCAGGAGCCTCGGAGTTGAACTTACAAAATGGAAGCCGCACGCTGATTGGTCGCCGCCACTCCCGGACCTTTAATAAAGAAAGGGGAAGGAAAAGATAAATGCAAAAAAGGGGGACACTCTCCTCCGCTGCTGGCTGGAGGAGGAAGGGGGGTGTGCGGGAGAAGCATGTGTCTAGGACAATTACTGGGCACTCCTTTCCAAAAATAAAAACAAGAGCAAAAAGCTTCTATCATCCAGGTCCAGGCGAGGGCTGCATCCTGCCGGGAATGTGATTGCTAATTTGGTTAAAATCCTGGTTCCCCCTCCCAGCTCCGCTCCCGGGGGGAGGGGGTCGCGGGGCAGAAGAGGAAGCCGGAGCGAAGAAACCTCGATGGCAACTCGTCTCGAGTCGGCCTTGCCAACCCCCACCTTTCCCGGCGTCCTAACACAATCACACACACACAAACACAAACCCAGCCTTTTCCCCCGAGCCCCCACGCGCCCACCTCCGGCCTCGGCAGTTTGGAAACAGTTTTGGAGGCCGAGGCGCAAGCCGCGGCGGCCGCGGCTCGGAGGGTAGCCCCCGCCGCGTAGGTAGAGCTCGGGAGACCCCCCCGCCCCGCCAGCCGAGTCCCCCACCCAAGTCCCAGCAGAAAAAATAAATTAAAAGGCCTTCCCCCGGGGAGGGGGAGGCAGTGTGGGAGCGCGCGAGTGAGGTGGGGGGCCGCCGGGGCCCGGGGCTCTGGCGGCGCAGCTGCCGCCGCCGGGAGAACGCCGGGGAAGCGGCGAGGAAGGCGAGGGGAGGAGGAGGAGGAAGAGGAGGAGGAGGAGGAGGTGCGCGCTCGGGTCGGGCTCCTCAGCGGTGTATTGTGGGATGTGCGGCTCCCGCGAGCCGAGCCTCCGCCGCCAGCCGCCTCCCGGGCAGCAGCAGCAGCAGCAGCGGCGGCGGCAGCTCCGGGCTCGGCAGCCGCGCCGGCGGCGCACCCCCCGGCCCCCTGTCCGGCCGCCCCGGCCTCGGCTCCCGCGGGGGGACACCATGTACTGGCTGGCGGCGCAGGGAGGCCGGCGCCCGGCGGGGATGTAAGCGCGGCCCGGGAAGGGAGAGGCCGCGGCCGGCAGCCGGGCGGCCCGCGCCCCCGGCCCGGCCCCGAGCGAGCTGGCGGGCGGGCGGCGCCAGGCCTGCCGCGAGCCCAGCGCCGGAGCCGGGCCGGGGGCCGAGCGAGCGGCACGGCGGGCGGCGGCGGCGGCCGCATGAGCACCATGGGCCGGAGCCCGCGTCCTCCGGGCGCCCCGGGCCCCGCCAGCCGGCACCGGGGGCCCCCGGGAGCGCCGAGCTACCGCCTCGAGACGGTGGCCGAGCGGGCGGGTGCCTAATTCTCCCGGAAGGGTTATTCTCTCCATTCTTGTTTTGGGGGGAGCCAGCGAGACAGCTCCTTTTGGGGCGCGCTGGTAAGGTGGGAGGGGGTGGGGGCTGGACGATTTGATTCTTTCGCGTGTGTGTAGAAGCGGCCGTCGCCGCCACCGCGGCGGAGACGACAACTTGCCCGTTTTCAGGTTGGGTTAACGGCATGGAGAACAGTCACCCCCCCCACCACCACCACCAGCAGCCCCCGCCGCAGCCCGGCCCTTCGGGCGAGAGGAGGAACCACCATTGGAGAAGTTACAAGTTGATGATTGACCCGGCTTTGAAAAAGGGGCATCATAAACTGTACCGCTACGATGGGCAGCATTTCAGCCTGGCGGTGAGTAGCCGGCGCGCCTCCCCGCCGCCCCTACGTACCTCCCCACAGAGTCCTGCCCGGGGCGGGGGGCAGGAGTCCCAGCGGGCCGGGAAGGCCCCTCCCGACCACCGGGGCAACTGTCAGCCGGGTCCCCAGCCCTGGAGCTTGACAAGTGCCTGGAGAAGGGGGTCTGCCGCTGCCCCTGAGGAGTGGGACCAGCCCTCCCAGTTCCTCCCCGCACCCACATCCCCATTCCTTCCCACAGATGTCCAGCAACCGCCCGGTGGAAATTGTTGAAGATCCCCGGGTCGTCGGCATCTGGACGAAAAACAAGGAGCTGGAGCTGTCGGTGCCCAAATTCAAGGTAGGACCCCTCCCCCAGGCCCGCGGTCGCTCTCCTCACTCTCCGACTTCGAAAATAACGCCAGTCCTGACCGAGCCCAGCCGGATTCCCAGTTCCCGCCGACCGGGCCCCGACCGGGCCCCGACCGGGCCGGGGAAGTTTTGGCGGGGAGGGGGAGATTGCTGCGAGAGAGGTAACCTCTCTCAGCTACTGTAAACAAAATAACACTCGGTGAAACTGTAATCAAGGCGCTGATACACTGTCCTGCCCTCTCAGCTGGGGGCTCCAGGTCCCCACCTGGCTCCTGCTAGCCTGGGGGCTCGCCGCGGGACCCGCCGCCCTTCCTAGCCTTGTGGCTTCAGAGAGACAACTTTCTAGCCCAGGTGTCACCCCTGACCGGGCAGCAGGGACCTGAGGCCAGAATGGGGGAGTGGGGAAAGAGAAACTGTTTCTTTTTCCTTTCCTTTCGAACCCACGTTCCAAACGGTTTAATCCTCTGTTTACCGGGCCCGCCCGCGTGCATTTTTTTTTCCAAAAAAAAAAATTATGTTTTTACCCTTCATTGTTTTCAGCCGGCTGGCAAGTGGGGAATGTTGTGTTTTCCCTTAAGTTCCAATGTTCTCCAAATTCCCTTCCCTCGTGTCCCCTGCCAGATCGATGAATTCTACGTGGGCCCCGTGCCTCCGAAGCAGGTGACATTTGCCAAGCTGAATGATAACATCCGTGAAAACTTCCTGAGGGACATGTGCAAGAAGTATGGAGAGGTGGAGGAGGTGGAGATTTTGTACAACCCCAAGACCAAGAAGCACTTGGGCATTGCCAAGGTGGTCTTTGCCACAGTCAGGGGAGCCAAGGAGGCGGTTCAGCACCTGCATAGCACTTCGGTCATGGGCAATATCATCCACGTGGAGCTGGACACCAAAGGTGAGTGGAGGGACCCAGGACACCCACTGCCGAGGAGCCGCAAGACCTTTTAGTGAGTCCCCTACCCCTCTCAGAGCCCCTTCTGCAGTTTTGGGGACCCCCTTACTCTTCTTTGGGTGTCCCCCTACAATGGTATTTTCCCCCCTCCCATGGGCAGAGTCACGTGGAGCTAAATGTGTTGTCTGTTGCTAAGAGACAAGCTATAATTCACCAAAAGTGCCGGTCCTTGGCCGCTGCATCCCCAGGGACCACTCGGAGGCTTCCCCACTGCTGACACCCCTGTGGATCCTTCTCAGAGCCCTGGTGGCCTGCGTTTAGACAGTCCCCAGTGTTGCTATCTGTGTGAGAGGAGGAGGCAGGTTTTGTTTATTTGTGGGGGGCTGAGGGAGAGCCATTAGGATGCCTTTAACTGTATAAGAGTAGGTCCCTCAAGTAAAGAGAGCCCTCCCAGGATCCAGGGTACCCATCCCTACCATGCCACTCCTTTCCCCTGAAAGTGGGAACCAATCTGGGCCCAGAGAGTGGTTTCATTGATCCTGTTCTCGGTAGAGTTGGGCGGGCTGATGGCTCTGGGTGCTAGAGGGCTGACACTGTGCCTTCCCTCCTCTCTCTTAAAGAGACAGCCGCACCTTCCTTGCACAGGAATCCCGCTGTGTGCTCACTCAGAGCTAGTTGCTGGGAGAGCAGGGCTGGGGGGCCATATCTGGCACCCTCTGGGTCCTGGGAGGCTCCTTCTGAATGCTGGCTGGTGGGGCTTGCAGGATTCTAGGACATCCCCCAGAGTTAGTCTGTGGACTCTCTAGGGAAGTTACCAGCTGTGTAGAAGAAGGTGCCAGTGCTCTGAGGACCAACTAGCCCTGTGACTAGGCAGGCGCTGTGGGGTCTCAAACCCCTCGGGGTCTCCTGGGAAACCCTGCCTGGGATGGCTTAGGTGGGTGATTTGTGAACACCAGGTCTAGGGACAACTGGAGCACACCAAACCTAAGGCAGGAAAATATAAACTTATTTTTTTTTTGCTTTTAATAATGAATACATTCTGCCTGAGTTTCTGAGACCTTGCTGGGGGTCGTGGAGGGACACTTGTCCTGTGTGCGCATGGTACAAACTCTTGCCAAGCCTACCCCTAATTCTGAGTTTCCTCAGCACATGGCCCAGGTTCCTGTCCAAGCCACAGCCCCCACACCACCACCCCTTCTAGTTTCTCAATCTCTGTTGGGGGAGTGCAGACTGTTTCAAATTACATACCCCTTGGGTGGCTGTAGGCTTTTTGTCCCTGAGAATCAAATGTGAAGCCTCCTCCCCACTCTTGCCATTTTAAGGAGTAACCAGCTCTCACCAAAATTTCATTTCTGCAAAAAATAAAAAAGCTGGGGCCCTCAAAGACTTCCAACTAAGTTTGTATTTCAAGAAAGAGACCAGTAAAGTGTATAGTGTAGCTCAAGGAATGTGTCTTCTTTGCATATGTAAGCAGCTGCCTCAGAGGGCTCTATAAATATCAATCATCTGGGCCCCTTGGTCTATAGAGGCCTCTTTGCTTGGGGGTGGGGGTGGAGGTTACCAGACAGGGCTCAGTGGATCTGTGCACCAAGCAGAGCTGGGGAGCTTGGTCAGAGGAGGAAGCACGTGGGGTTCATAGTAATGTGGCCCTAGAGTGTGTTTTACAAACTCTGCTGGTCACCTGGGCCCCATATAGTTAGCAACAAACTTGGTCTCCTCTCCACTTATTACGAGACCCTGCTGTTAGAGGGGAAGAGCAGGACTCTTAAGACCTGACTCTTCAGGTGCCAGGGCCCAGGTGACAGACAGGAGGGGGCTTTGTGTTGCAGGTGGCATTTCTGTATCCGGGAGAGTCCCAGCCCTACAAGACATTAAGTTCTGAATAGCAGGATCAGAAAAGTCACCCAGTTTAGCAATTAGGTTGAGCAGCTAGGACTGTTGAGTGACATGCTAAGAGAGGTAGGAACTTGGGCAAGGTCACAAATAGCTTCCCAAGCTTGGGGTCTCAAGCTCAGGAACCCATCCTGCAAGGGCTGCTCCCTTCTGGAGCCTCACTCAGTCCTCCCTCCCTTTCATAGGGGAAACCCGCATGCGGTTCTATGAACTGTTGGTCACTGGTCGATACACACCACAGACCCTCCCAGTGGGTGAACTGGACGCCGTCTCTCCAATCGTGAACGAGAGCCTACAGGTGAGTTTATCTCTGTCAGCCCAACTCCATCACCAGCTTCTGATGTGCTCCCTACCTTAACTCCCCCACCTCCAGCTTTGGACACCAAGGCCTAGGAGGGAAGGATCCCGGCCATGAGCAGGCTGGAATTCCCACACCCAGAGCCCATGTTGGGCCTGCTTTCTGTGTTGATGCTGTGACATTGTTGTGTCTAATGTCCTGTGTGCCCCACGACCCCTGTCCACAGAAAGCAGAGTTTAGGTCCTTTCCAGAGCAAGACTCAATCCTGCCCCAACAGCTGCTTCCCAAGGCACTCACCAGGACCTCCCTCACATGGGGAGATTCTCATCCCAGCTCTTCCCCAGCATCAGCCCAGCCACCCCCAGGATTAACTTTTCAAAAATGAAGAGGCTTTGCTTATTTGCTGGTCAGCTGAGTTGTCACACTATACAAGTTTGTGTCAGGCTATTTAAGTTCTAAAACATTGAGAGGCTGGAGGATTGGGCCCTTGGTCATCCCCTCACTCCCAAGACCATAGTTCTTCCTGGTATCCTTGTCTGGAAGGTTTTTGATTTCCAAAAGTCTGAGATGAGAAAGAAACCCCAGTTCAAACCAAGATATCAGGATCTTCTTTTTTCTGTGCTTCAGGGACTAGGAAAAACCCTCAAGGTTCACTGAGGATAATTGCTACCCCAAGATTAGAGAAAGATAGAACCATCTAGACACTCCTCTTCAATCTCCCACCCTGCTTCCTTACCATGCTGCAGTTCTACAGCAGCCAGTTTGGCTGTGAGCTCCCCAACAGCCCTGGTGAGAAGGGAAAACAGCCCCATTCCATTGCACATTTTCCCCCAGTGATCTCATACTTCTCTCTCTATATGTAGCTATCAGATGCCCTGAAGCGCCTCAAGGATGGTGGCCTGTCTGCAGGCTGTGGCTCTGGCTCATCCTCTGTCACCCCCAATAGTGGTGGTACACCCTTCTCCCAGGACACTGCGTACTCCAGCTGCCGCCTAGACACACCCAACTCCTACGGACAGGGCACGCCGCTCACGCCACGCCTGGGCACCCCCTTCTCACAGGACTCCAGCTACTCCAGCCGCCAGCCCACACCCTCCTACCTCTTCAGCCAGGATCCCACAGTGACCTTCAAGGCCCGGCGCCATGAGAGCAAGTTCACAGATGCCTATAACCGCCGCCATGAGCATCATTATGTCCACAACTCTTCTGCAGTCACTGCAGTGGCAGGCGCCCCCACTGCCTTCAGGGGCTCTGTGGACCTCCCGTTCGGGGTGGTCAGCAGCAGTGGGGGCAGCAGCGGTCCTCCGTTCAAGGCCCAACCACAGGATTCAGCTACCTTTGCCCACACTCCACCACCTGCCCAAGCAAACCCTGCTCCTGGAGTCACATTCAAGTCGGCTTTCTCTCCGTATCAGACCCCTGTGCCCCCTTTCCCCCCACCCACCGAGGAGCCCACCACCACAACCACCTTTGGGGCCCGGGACAGTGGGGAGTTTCGGAGAGCACCAGCGCCCCCACCCCTGCCGCCCACTGATCCTCTGACCAAGGAGAAGCCAGGCACACCGCCTGGCCCACCACCTCCTGATGCCAACAGCATGGAGCTGGGTGGCCGGCCGACCTTTGGCTGGAGTCCTGAGCCCTGTGACAGTCCAGGCACGCCTACGCTGGAGTCGTCTCCTGCTGGGCTGGAGAAGCTGCATGATAGCCTAGACTCACGCATTGAGATGCTGCTGAAGGAGCAGCGCACCAAGCTGCCCTTCCTTCGGGAGCAGGACTCAGACACAGAGCTGCAGATGGAGGGCAGCCCTATCTCCTCCTCCTCCTCTCAACTCTCCCCATTGGCCCCCTTTGGCACTAACTCCCAGCTGGGCTTCCGAGGCCCCACACCACCCTCCTCACGTCCCTCCAGCACCGGCCTGGAGGATATCAGCCCCACACCACTGCCTGACTCGGACGAGGATGATGAGCTTGACCTGGGCCTGGGGCCCCGGCCTCCACCTGAGCCAGGTCCCCCGGACCCCACCAGTCTTCTGGGCCAGACAACTGAGGTAGCTGTGGACCTGGCTGGAGACAGGACCCCAACCTCAGAGAAGATGGATGAGGTACTGCCATGTCTGTCCATCTCTGTCTGGGATTTGTTTTGTCTTTGTGTCCCCCCTTTACTCCTTTGAGATATTATTCTCTTAGGATAACTAGATAAGAAAGAAGCAACAGGTCTAGGGCAGCCAAAATAACAGGTCAAATAGAGAGAATAAAAAGAGGATGCAAAAATTACCAGGGGCTGTGGCTCTGAGCTCCCTAGCAGCCATGAAGAGAAGAAACATGACCTACTTCTGTTTCTTTCCTTGCTAAGTATGGGAGTGGGGGGTGCTTTTCCTAGGGGTCAGTTCTGAGTTGAGCTTCTTTGGTAGTTTGTTGAGAACCCAGAGAGTATGGACTGTATTGATGGTTCTGGGCCCCCTTCTCTGCTGTGTGGCTTGGGATGATCTGAGTTGGTCCTGATGTTCAGGTGGATTTGGGAAGAACAATTATCCAGGGCTAGGCCAGGTGGGAGATCCGGAGCACAGTCTCCCAGAACCTGGTGCCCTCTGAAGAGATGGGAAACCATGGTGGGCAGGGAGGGTACTGAAATCCCTTCTCCCTCACCCCAGGCACCAGGAATGAAAGAGTTAAGGGTTAGCCCAGGGGGAGGGTCACAGTCAGAAGCAGGCAAAGTAGACCTTTCTCTACCCTCTCCTCACCCACAGATCCTCTGGATTCTCATTGCTCAAACTTCCAGCCTCAGGGTTGAGGGTGGGGGAGTGGGGGGGAACAGGGGTGTTACCTCCCACGTTCCCTTAGGGGAAGGGTTAGGCCACCTTCCTTGGCTCTGTTCCTTCCTGCTTTTGGTCCAGGCACCTGCCCTGGCCCTCCGGGAGACCTGACTTGGAACCTGACTTGGAACCTGCAGGCCCGGGGGCATGAGCAGCCAGGAGCTTGGACAGAGCTCTGTGCCCCTGTGGGTGGTAGGGAGGAGGGTGCGCCCTTCCCAGGTCCTTTGATTAGGCTAGTTTGGCTGCCTCCGGGAGGAACAGAGAAGACTTTGGTCTGCCGGGGAGGGGACTGTAGGTGGCTGGTGTTTCAAGGGCCTCCAGGAAGTTCTGGAAAAGTGGTTTCTGGTGTAAGGGGTCCAAAACAGGGAGAGCTGACAGGTGTGCAGAGGTTGGGGGACGTGGGCTGCAGGCCCTGCATCTTCCCTTCTTTTCTCCCTTCCTGGTCCCTGGGGTCAGGGGATGTTTACCATGCTGATGGGCTGGGCCAAGGCTGGGAAGCGTAGAGTAGTGGGAGGGAATGAGCTCTCCCACCATGTCATTGTATGGGAGGAGAGAATGAGGCCCAGGGAGGTGGCATCTGGGTTGCTTTCGGTAATTAGCCCTGGGAAGCCAGGGAGTACTGATAACCTCCAGGATGGCCCTTGGGAGCCCCCTGCTGGCAGCGGGGAGAGCAGCACCCGGGATCCTCGGGACGTCCTGCGAGGCCCAGCCCAGGCTGGGGCGTCAGAGCAGGGGAACCACTGGGGGAAGTGGAGGGTTGGGGGGAAGGGGGAATTCCCTTTCTTCACAGAGGCTGGTGGTTAAAAGTTCAGGTGCCAGTGCTTGAGCCCCAGCTTTGTCACTTACTGGTCATGTGAACCTAGAGAAGGCACTTTCCCTCTCTGGGTCTGTTTCATCTGTGAAATGGGATGGAGAGAGCACCTGGCTCCCACTGTTGGGACCTAAGTGGGGTGCCTCCCAATGGGCGGATGAAGGGCGGCGGGGGCTGATCCTGCTGGACATGATTGGCCCCTAGGGCTGGGTTAACCCCTGTGTTACCTGTGGTTGGGCACCCTCTAGGCTGCCCTGAGGTTCCCAGTGAGCTCACCAGGCCCGCCTCAGCAAGTGGGTGGGGACCCTGGGAGAGAGGGAGACAGGGTGAGAAAGAGTGTGTGTGTGACCAACCTAGTGAAATCCAGAGCTCCCTGCTGCTGCCCCAGGTTCGGTGTTCCTCTTTCCCCGCCCCCTCAGCTATAGGTGTGACCTCTGACCTGACAGCCTGTACAGACCCTGCCCCTCAGCCTTCAGAGGCATTCCCTAACTCTTGCAACCTACAAACAACTCGGTCTCCTCAGCCAGGTTCACCTAGGACAGAGCCCAAGCCACCTTTTCCCCTATGGTCCTGAAATACCTTGGGGCGGCCCAGACCTCCTCTCCTCCCCACTGTTCTGTCTCTTCCTTCCACCTGCATGTAGACCCTAGTGTCTCCTCCAGATTCAAGCCCCAAAGCGCTGTGTCCCAATGTAAAGGGGCCCTTACCCATTTTAGAGCTGGGGTCATCCTTGACTCCTGCCCTGTTCATCTGATACCACAACTCCCTGAATTCTGACCACAGCCCTCTCCTGCTGTGGCCCGGACAAGTGTGCAGTCTGGAGACTAGGTGAAAAGAGTAACAAAGGAAAGATAAAGACTCACCTCCCATTTATGTCCCCTTAGTACTGCTGAACTCCCTGCTTAAAAGTTGCCTTCTCTGCCCAGCCCTGTCTGACACAGTGAGGACAGCAGGTTGATTGCGAGCCCAGGTTAGGGAGCCGTTTCCTGGTTTGAATCCTGGCTCCTTCTCTTATGGGCTGTGTGGCCTTGGGAAAGTTACTGAAGCTCTCTGTGTTCTAATTTCCTCATCAGTAAAAATGGAGATAACCTACTTTGTAGAGTTGTTTTGAGGATTAACTGAGTTAATATATGTAAAGTGCTTAGAGAGGCCTGGCACATAGGGAGCCTTACAGAGTGTTGACTGTTAGTATTATCTTCTCTCATAGAAATGGAAAGAAACAGAATCTGCTTTTCTTTTTACACCCCCTCCTTCTTCCCAGCTTTCTTTTTCTCCATGACTAACTGTGTGTTTCACATTTTTACCTGGTAATGCTTTACCGCTCCCTTATAGAAGTTCTTGAGAGCAAAAATTTTGTTTGTCTTGTTTATGGCTGTGTCTTCAGAACCCAGAACATTTCCTGGCACACAGCAGGAGCTGAGTGTTTGCCAAATGAATGATAAACTCTCATGATAATCGCATGAAGCAGCTACTATGATGCCCACTGGGCAAATGGAGAACTTAAGTGAATTGCCCCAGCCCCATGGCCGAGGCACTGAGAATCCATGTTGCTGATTAGTCTTGCAGAGGCTTCTTCTCCAGCTCGCTGGTATTTGGAAGGGGTCTCTGGGAGCCACCTTGGCCTCCGGACTCACCCTCACTGCTCTCTCCCCGCTCTTCCCACAGGGCCAGCAGTCCTCTGGTGAGGACATGGAGATCTCGGATGACGAGATGCCCCCGGCCCCCATCACCAGTGCTGACTGCCCCAAGCCCATGGTGGTGGCCCCAGGGGCAGCAGCTGTGGCAGCTCCCTCGGTGCTGGCCCCGACCCTGCCGCTGCCCCCACCCCCTGGCTTCCCACCACTGCCCCCACCCCCGCCCCCGCCTCCACCACAGCCTGGCTTTCCCATGCCCCCTCCTCTGCCCCCGCCCCCACCTCCCCC